TGTTGTGACCCAAACTTTCCTAAGCAACGCAAGAGATAAAGGAAATAAGCGTGATTGACTATCCAAAGGAAGGGTGTGCTAAATGCACTTTCGATCTGTAATTAAATACTGGTTTCCATTTTTATACTAGTTTCTGATAAACATTTATACTGAAATAACTTTCCTGTCTATCTTATTTCCAGCTAGCTTCGCAAGCGTTCAAAAACCTAACGGGAACAAATCCTGAGAAAGAGAATGTGTTTATTGATGGATCATTTGTGCTAGATTCAAACTTTAATAAACGCTTTCATTTATGACGCACCAGTCTTTTAATTACGGTAATTCTTATCTATCGTGACAGGTCGAAATTCGAACTACAACATGTTCAAGGTAGCAGTATTTGGTAAACGGTATGTATGACTAATCGCGTGTGCGCCATACTGGTAATTATTACACAAGAACGCGAAACAACATCTCTGTCTCACAGCCACATAAAACTGAACAGTGCACTCCCTGCCGTTACGCTATAAGAATAAATCAATGGCCATATAAATGAATTTATGTAAAAGTAAAAAGATTACAATATTAGAACTTCTTGTTATCAAGAAGCATAGCTATGGTCTGTATTAACAATGGATTCTGACGTTGTAGCTTCATCATTAGCACCGATTGAACTCATCACTTGTGCGCATGTTTTCCGATGCTTCGAGGCATGAACGGATGAATTTACTTGCAAAAGGTTCACTAAGAGCATGGACTGAGTGGTAGTTGTTAGTGAACTTCTCTAGCAGATCAACACTCCCTGTAGAGAATGACATGTTGTCCAGCGCACGAAGAACCAAGTCCATTATGTATTTCCATTTCCACCGGCTGTTATGTCGAAATAAGTCTACAAAGCTTATAGAGATAAGGGAACACACACTTACCTCCACGAATTAGATCTTTGGAATGTGCATACAGAATATGACCACAGGGCAGCATGTTGTCACTGAAACGCTCACAAGCACATCATGCATGTGAAGTATCAACGACATACATCATACAATTGTTGTAGCACCGGATGTATTCTCCTTCTCTAAATCCGTGTCTCATTGTCCTAACACGTTTAGAATTCACAGATACAATTTTAGCTGCAAAAGATGTGAACTCACTCATAGGAATTCAAAATGACATTGGAACCTGGAATTCATGATACATTCAACTATATTTCTTATTTAAAGAAATTGAAAACGTTGAAGATTTTTTACACCGTCATATGGATGCAAACATAGGTCAGTGTCTGTTTTACCCCAAATTTTCCAGAACGTCAATAGCAGGAGATCACCTCTTCTGAGACGTTCTTTTAGGTGTTTATGAGCACTTTCGACACGGTTGTTTGTGTGGTTACCCAGGCTTAATACATGTCGCCGGTAACAGCGAGCCCACATTGACTTCCTGGCAATCCAGTAATCTTTTATGTAGTCATACACCCGTGAGAAATGCGTCCTTAGATGTTCGTACTTTCGAGTATATCTGAATATAATGCTCTATGAAAAGCGCGTCTAGTCTTCACAAGGTGTTCCAAGCATTTGCGCACATCAGGATTTCGGAACTACAGATAATTTTTACAACTAACACATACCTTCCTGAAAAACGCTATCAGGACATGGAATGAACAAAGTATTATGTTAGAATGACTGTGCGTAGACTGCACAGCCGAAATTTCGGTCGCTGTCGAATCCATAACGAAAGTGCGTGTATCATAAGTACCGTACATTATATGGTTAAAACATTCCGGTAGTTTTTAGACATCTTCGCGTCGTTCTTGACTGCAAAGATCATACATAACAGTGTACCCTTGCCCAAGACTATCAGTCACCACTAGCTGGAACAGTGGAAAACTTTCAGATAAATTTATTACTAATCGTTACTTACCCGACTTTATTGGTCTGATAAGTCAAATCAATACATATTACCTCCAGGAACGTGAGGTAAACAGCTATTTGCTCTCTGTGGCTGAAGTAAATCATAGACATGTTCCCATTTTCATTGAATACTTTAACTTCAGTATTTGCTTGAACGCGCTGTAAAATGTCATTGATATTTTTAGTGTCTAAACTCAATTCATTACAATGTGAGTTCAACAACCTGGATACAACTGTGAACGCATTCTGGCGATATCGTCCTTGGTAAGCTGTTTATTGAACTTCCAAGAAACCAGATACCGTAAGCTACGAGTTGGTGTATTACTCAGTAAAAACATTTTAAATATAAGCGTTCACTTGAAGTCAACTGTCGTTTCGATCGATCGACAGAAATATATCCTTTTGTGCAAGGACGGTTGTGCACTGTTTTAACAGAGGTGACTTTCAGCTCACCATTTACTGCCCGGACCCAAAATCCAGATTGACAATGGCAATATTTCGACCTGAAGGATAAATTCATTTGAAGTAAGGCATACGTAGATGGCCGACGTTGTCTCCTTTGCTTAGGTTGTGTTGACGAGTTAGAAGTTGTACGCTCTTCAGAAGAATGAAGATTACTATCATCATCTACATCCTGAACGCGAGCATCTGACTCTGACAAACTGCGTTTACGTCCATATGTACAGGCATATCTCACGGAAAAGTACTTTAGAGTTGGATCATCACTATTCTTTTTGCATACTGACGTAACGTACTTAGTATGCGTATACTAAAAAAATAATTATTAACCACAGAGGTCATATTACCTTATGTACTTCTTTCAAACAGGTCTCAAAATTGTCCCAACTTGTAAATCTTCGAGATAACATAATATCATTGAAGATTCGCCCTATATCATGCTATATCACGATGGCATCGTCTTCGTTACTTGAAGAATGAACGTTACCAGACATGGTGTGGCTGAACTCAATTCAAATCTAGAAATGTCTTAATTTGACCGCTTCTGAAAATTTTCACGAATTGTCGATGTGACGAACCAATCATTTTGCTACAGTTTGACCTTCAGGTGCTCGTAACCCCCATCAGTGGACGATACCCTAGGAGCGTTGCCGGTGTACAGTAACAGATAAACGCAAGTTGAAAACCGTCCGAACTAACCCACGCCACAACACGGATATACCAGACCTACCTATACATCATAACTTTTAATGTCTAGGACACAATTAGTTATTTGGAGTGAGCCTAATATCGGCATATTCCATACATAAAGCAGTCAGAAAATTCAGTCTTGAACTACATATATGAGCGAACAATATTGTGTTCAATTAGATCCTCATTAGGCTTTACTATAATATACAGTAATATTTATATGCATATACAAAATTACTAATGTTACATAATAAGTGAATAGTACAAGTTGATAGTGTAATGACAGTTGTACCAGTTTTTGATAAGAATAATAAATGCTTAAATCAGTGTGACATAATCGAAAATAGGTCAATGATCAGAAAAATATACAGTGGGATAAAATTTGTAAAAATTATACGATGACGTAATAAGAAGTGTTCGGATAATTAGACCGTGAAGTGTATATTTGAGAGAGAGAGAAAAGGTTAGTAGGGTGTTAAAAAAAATAAATGAGTAAAGAGCATGGAAAATAATAATAAATAAATTCACTTATTAAGGCCAAGGGAGAGATAAGTGTGTTACAAATTCCTCACGAACACACAGACATGGATTGTTGGCTGGAATTCCTATAGCTTCTGCTATGTATAAGAGACGAGATCGAACACCATACGGAAAGCTAGTAGGAATACGATAAATAACTTGAAATGACTTTTTTCTGTCCACTACATGACCGCTATAGATAAAGTATGATGAAACTGAGCTGCATATTGCCTTGATATTACTTTTTCTACACCACGAAGGGAGATGTTCACTTGGGGATGTACAAATTTTATCCCACTGTATATATTTCTGATCATTGACCTATTTTCGATTATGTCACACTGATTTAAGCATTTATTATTCTTATCAAAAACTGATACAACTGTCATTACACTATCAACTTGTACTATTCACTTATTATGTAACATTCTCCATCGTTATCATTTACTCATAAACTAACTTGATTGGTTTAGTAATTTTGTATACGCATATAAATATTACTGTATATTATAGTAAAGCCTAATGAGGATCTAATTGAACACAATATTGTTCGCTTATATATGTCGTTCTAAATTTACAATATGGGAACTTTTCAAATTCAGTCTAAATAGAAATTTGATAGGGATAACGAATTCACGTGAAAACAATATTCAACACTTATTTAGCGCGCTTCACTCACCAACTAGGTAAATATAATTTATTTTTAAGGGTAAAGCAGTTTCTTTAATTATGCGGTCAGATAACCTGAAACTATGAAAGAAGGTCTTAGCACAAATGGTTTGCGTACGAAAAATTTCACAATTCAAACGGATCGAGATTCATGGAAGGAAACAGATATTCACCACACAACTGATCAATAATCTAAATCTAGTTTCCCCTGCTAGGGTCTAATCAACTATCGGACTGATCGATACTGAAAAGTTAGATTTCGGAATAAGTTTATTTGGAACATATCCTACCAACACGACAGACAACAAGTGTCACTTGGAGACCGGTATTGAGATCCAAAATCTGTGGTCACATTGAGTTTTACATTTTCTTCTGCCCTTGAGTTAAGAAAACTTTCTCCCTTTAAATTAACACTACAAGGCTTCTTATTGTACTATAAATGAAGCATTTGAGGACCTTGTTTGATAAGAGAACCACGAAGCCTCTCAAATCATTGCTAGATATGATTCGACAACGATTCCAAACTAACCACTGATCTGGGGTACTTGATAGGAGAATTTGAATTGTTCGAAAATTTTACTTTGGTTAAAAGAAACGATTACATATTTACCGACAAGCCAAACAAGCATCTAGTTTATACAAATCCCACTGTGACATTGGATATGTATTGAGTGTTGAATGAGGTTGTTATCATATATGCAACACTGAAATTTTTTGAAATAAACGTCATTTAGCCCTAAACTCAACACAATGACTTGGTTTTTTGAAATCAATCTGACTGACTTTAACCTGGCGGCTTTCTTGAATTTCAGCGATTTATCCTGAAAAGCATGTAGTGAATTCTTCTGATTGCGAATTATAACTTGCATCTTATATTTTGTAATGAACAATAACAAAACACACTCATAATGATGCATTTCTCTCCATAATATGTCTTTAGAAAGCATGGAATGTAATGACACGTGTGGAGTATTCCCCCCTAGAAAGATATGTTTAGATCAAAACTCTGAGCATTTCTCGCTGGAGGAGCTTGGACAGATACTTAGTTTATGCTCTTATAGTCATGATCTCGGAGTCGTTAATCAGGAACTGGATTTGCTAGATGATATATGTACGAGTTATATCCCGGATAAAATTGCCGGATTTACAAATGGACAACAACTTACTTCCTGTAATTTTGCACGTGTTGCGGATTTTACACCCGGTACTCACTCCATTTTTATTCCACATCCCAGAGAAAATAAAATTGTGCAAGATACTCAGGTTTCTGAGGAATGTAAATTACCACCTAAGAATGAAGCTGTTCCTTCCTGCCAGGAAATCGTACTAGATGCTAAACGAGAGGCTTCTGTTTTGCAACAAGTATCAAGACTCCATAAAAAGGGTCTGTGGTCGTCTGATCGTTTACCAAAAGTTATGGAGCCGAAATGTGGAAGACTTCACTACACGCATCTCCTAAATGAGGCGATTTGGTTGTCAGTTGATTTTCATGAAGAAATAAAGTGGAAGAAATATATGGCAAGTAAGGTAAGTAGTTTACACTTCATATTTCTTGTGCAAGCACTTGATTGATATGAACCCATCCGTATTTGTCAGTATTTTTTGTCGTTTGTCCCAATAATTGTTATCGATTACCTATAGATCTGATGAGTGTTGTCGACACAATTGTCAGTATGAATAAATTGCGTACGACTTATCGTGTTTTTAATCGATTAGGGGATCGGTCTTCAGTAATAAGGATAGGTCTATCGATCTATATTAATCCTTTCAGTTTGTAATACTGTGAAGGTCCAGTTTCGTTTTGAATATATCAACAGGTGCTGATATTACGTGTCCCGGTAGAGAATTCCAGTAATTCATTACTCGGTGCGAGAAACGAAACTCCAGACGCAAACGATTTGATCTCAGTTTCGGACTTTCTTCGAATGTCTTCTCAAATGATCGGTCCTAGACGGAAGCAAGAAATAAGACATGTTAATACCAAGGTCATCGTTTAGTATGCGATAAGCCAATATTGGATCACCCCGTATTCTACGGTAAGATAACGGAAATAAGTTAAGGTGTCTCAGTCTGTCTTCATAAGATAGGCCAGATAGACCTTGTACCATCTTAGTACCTCGTCTTTGGACTCTTTCCAGCATGTCTGCTTCATACTTGAAGCAAGAATTTGCTGCTTGGATCCCATATTCTAAATGTGGTCGCACATAAATGGATTATAATATTCTAATCATTCAATCATCTAATTACTGGAAAGACCTACGAATAGACCATAATACCCCCATAGCCTTTCCCAGCAGCAGCCTTACAGTGACTAGTGGTCTTGAGATCACTACTTAATACGACTCCTAAATCTTCATATTTTCTTACTTCGGGCAGCACAAATCCACGTAGTGTATAGTGATACGATTTGTCAGAGTTATTTAACTGCACCACTACACTCTTATTAGGATTTACTTCTAGTGACCACCTGTCTAACCATGCCACCAATGAGCTAAAATCATCCTGTAATACCATTCTATCCGACATACTATGTATGGGTCTCCAAATCTTTGTCATCAGCGAAGAGTAGAACGGATGATTTTGCTACAGTTGGCAATTCATTTACATAAAGTAAGAAGAGAAGAGGACCCAGTATTGTACCTTGGGGAACCTCACGTTTTACAGGTACCCATGAAGAGAGAGCCCCATTAACCCTTACCCTTTGTCTTTTGTCATGGAGAAAGTTACTTATCCAATCCACGATTGTATAATGGATTCCAAAACGTTTCAGTTTGAATTTAAGACCAGAGTGGGAAACCTTATTGAAGGCCTTACTTAGATCTATGAAAATCACATCCACAGGAACATTCCGATCTTTTGTAGCAGCCCAATCACTGATAATGTTTTCATGTTTTAATTGCCTTTCAGAATATCGTCTAAGTACATAGTTCAACATAATACATGTTCACTACGTCTCAGTAAAATGATAGCTATCAAGTGATCCAAGCCGTGATTATATATTTGAGATCATAACCTATATTCGTTAGTACACAGATCAACTAGTAATACTTATGCATTTGTGTAATTACGAGTCCTTAGCGTTCTTATGACCACCAGAATAAAAAGTCGTCCCCATGTTGGAAGATTTATACTGTTTCCCAGTCCATGTATTTCTACTGGATGTCTTTTGACACATGGCTCTTTTGTCACTAGAATATAAGTTCCGGTCTTTGTAGAGAAACTATTCACGACAACTGAATAGACTAAAATCCAGATTGATTTCATTGTGTTCATGATTATTGTGACAATACAATTCTCTCTAGCCACTTGCGTACAGTCTCTCCTGAGCATTACCTGCTTCCCTATCTATCATTATATAAGCTAGATCACATGTTATTTTCACGTAAACGCTGTTTGATTACTTACAGACTATAAAAAGGATTTGGCAATTTGGACTTTGGTTGTGAAAAAAGTGCAATACACTTTTCACCGTATGATATTTAGACGTATTAGAACACTTGTCCTTTGTAACTGAGTATAACGTGTTTTCTTGGTTGGCTGTTTTAGCATTTATACATACAACAGTTTGATTAGAAACATTTCAATCACATTTTTCACTGAAATATATTTTCTACGCTTTTATTCAAAGGAATGTTTTTTAATAAATTCCTTGTTGAAAAAAATGACGAGTTTAATCGTTTTTCGCTCGCTTTTCTTAGTGATTACATTTGTCTCGTTTTTTAATTTAGCTGGCTCGAGCCGCACAACTTTACCTTATTACGCGCCATGAATGGAATCGACAGCTTCAGTGTTTTGAAGAGCAGCTAAGAATGGGAAATGCTGCTCGTGTGGCAAAGATGATCAAAGATTGGTGGGGCAACGTAGGCCAAGTAAGTCAACTTTTGTTTTACATCCATCAGCACAAAGAGACGTCCAGTCCTCAGTCCATTCATTTCGTCATAAATTATTTTATCCAACTTTGTACGTAATCGCATTAGAAGTTACTTAGTGTAGTTGATGGTCTATGTGGATGCCGTGATGGACTTACATATCTGACTTCCCATCCATATTCTAGGTTCACGTTAAATGACAAGTATCATGCACCGGTAATTTTACAGGATCAAAATGGATATCAGAAATAAGCGTTTTAATTATTAAAAGGTTTCTAGACAAAAAACGATAACCAAAACTTCGGGTATTTTGTTTTCAAGGCGATCGATAATTGTTTATTCCTCAGATTTACGGACTTTTACATATTTTGTGTTACGTCACTATGTAACATTTGTTCGCTTTCTTTTGCTTATTTGTCCTAATTGTAATATTGTAAGTTGAACATGCATAACTTCAGTATTATACTAAGTTTATAAGAAGTCTATAAGAAAAGACAAAAAACTCTTGTGATAATCACAGTGAAATCTGCTTGACTAATGTTGTATCTAACTTGTTAGCCTCTCAAATCGTCCAACACGTGTCTGATGCTCGTAAGTCAAACTCGAAAAAAAGGCTGGTTTCATACCTGGATGTGGTTGTGTTGATTAAATATTCATTTTCCGTTAGGTCTTATAATGTAGACGTACTTACCGACATCCGACAATAGTTACATTTCTTGACTCGAGAGTAGCATTCAATTCAGTAAACCAAGAAGTTTTGTGAGGATGCTTGTCATTAAAAGGTATACCGATGATGTACATAAACCTGATGGCTGAATTATTTTCTAGTGATTAACCCACTTTTTATTTCGCTTCAGGACTTGGATCTTGTAAGTTTAAAAACTTCACAGAGACGTTGGGATTATGCCTATAAAGTGAACCAACATTCTATAACTCACTTCTCTGATATGGGTCCAAGCTGGTTAGCTTCTGTAAATTTTGACCTAGAAGATGCAGGTTTTCACGAATCTTCAGATACGTCACATAATCTGGATGATGAAAGAATCATGCAATATATTGGCGGCGATGGAGATATTGATGACAAAGATTGGAAGCCAGATATAGAAGATGAAAGCTCTACTGGACCACATAGTTGTAGCCGGTCAACTAGCAGTAGTCTGGCTGCCAGTTTTGTGGATGATAGTGATATGAGTGGTTTTGGAGTCGCTGTTTATTCACCTACCGATCCTTTATCTCCAGAAATCAACTTGGCTTCGTGTGCCAGAGCTTGCAATCAAGTGAGCAAACATCGTGGATCAGACAGAAGACGAAAGAGTCAAAGCGAGCATTCATATACTTCCGACTGTGGACATTGGGAAGATGCTTCTGAAGAGACTCATGGCATTACTTCAGAAGCTAGGGTAAATTCAAATTCACCAGAGTCGTGCGACCAAAGTGTTGAAAGTAATGAGGTGCAAGGTTTAATATCTGACATGGAAGTTCCATTGAATCGCTTTCTTGAACCCTATATTAATCAAGGATGGTGCATCAAAAATAGAGTCACATCTAGGTCCGGATATCGTTCTTCAGATTCGGATATTTCAAACTGTGAACGTGATTGTTGCTCTTTCGATATGGTTTCTCATGTAAGCTAACTTTAGTTTGTGATAGGTTTATAGTCTTCTAAAGGTAGAAATAATCAGGTCTAGAATTATTTCTTTTTTAATTTCCCCTATTTTCGAAGTTCACTGTATGCTAATACTTCTAAATCTCCATAAAAAAACAGTAAGTAGTTTAAACAGCTAAAATCGCGGGCAATTACCAACCTTCCTATCGCATAATGTGTGGAACTTCCCGTACAAACTCGACTTCGGCAATAAAGTACTTTTATCTTTTTAATTAATTAGTATGTCTGACCACTCATTTTGATGCCTAATTTTGGTTGGAATAGGAGTAGGTTAGGAACAACCTAAGAAGGGGTAAATCAGAACATCTTTTGATGTATCACGATCATTTGTCCCTTAAGGCATCGTTGTGTTTTGCGCGACAGCTGCCACATCAGGTAGCCACAGTTTTGCGCCTGACACTATCTGAGAGTATGATTATATGAAATTATTGTAAATAGGTTGTGACGAAATCTCAGCACGGATTCGAAAAGCTCGCTTGGATTTTGCCAACTTACGTCACCTAAGGCGAAGGTGAGATATCCGTCTATCAATTAAGGGACGAGTATACTGCGCGGCAGTTCGTTCTGTTCTACTTTACGGATGCGAAATGTGGCCATTAACGAAGGGTAGAAGATACTTGTAAGCTACTAGTATTTGACCACAGATGCCTCAGAAATATTGCTGGCGTCTGCTGGGATCATCGGGTAAGTAATAGTGAGGTTCGACGCAGGGTATTAGGGAAGGATGGTAAATCGGTTGGTGAGGTTGTGAATCTTCATCGACTGAGATGGTTGGACCACGTGTTACGTATGCCTGAACACCGATTACCACGACACGCAGTGTTGACTATTGTTGGGAATGGCTGAACGAAAGTTAGGGATGACCAAACCAAAACATGGCATCAGTGCTTGAAGTCACAAACTTCTAGTCTTAGCCATGTTGATAGATACAGTAAGGTGTTTCCATCAGACAACCAGCATGACAGCGATGCTGCCTTCCCACAAGGAGGGGTGGGGTTAGACAAGGTCGACCATAAAAATGCACACCTCACCTTATCCCACGGATATCCGTCTCCGGCGGTAAGGTCCCAAAAAGTACGGAGCTATCACAAAAATTACCCATAAAAAGGTCGTGTGTGACCGACCTCAAGCAGTTGTCCCTTGGGCACTGCGGTCACGCTCCTAGGTCACTAAGACCACCTCTATTCCAATTTCTTTTTCAGGTACCTCCAGAACAACCCTTCCATGGTGTGGGAAACTGGGAAGTGATAACCGCCCTCATACCTCTATCAGCACTCAAGACCACTGGATTCCTAATCAACCTCCGTTTTCACTTCCTATTACTCCTCTTACATCGACTTTCACCCCTAAACTTCCTTTTTCGGCTCCCCCTTCAAGTGTCACCATAGCCAACGATTCTAGTGCGCAAAACACTGTCTCACGTCTACTAAAACCTCGCTCCAAACTACACATTGGAACCTTCAACGTACGCACTCTATATCAAATCGGTCATCAGGCTTCCTTGGCTAGAACCCTAGAATCTCGTACCATTGATGTATGCTGAGTCTCTGAAACACGCATACAGGATTCCAGTGTGGTCATTCACTTGACCTCACCTCGGCAAAACGGAGAGCCATCGAGATACACCCTCCGTGTATCTGGTGACGCGATGGCCAGTTCTCGTGGACTGGCAGGAGTAGGCATAGCACTAAGCATGAAGGCCGAACAAGCACTGTTAGAGTGGATCCCCGTCAACAGTCGTCTATGTGCTGTGCGGCTAAACGGCTCCGTAAGAACTTGGAAGGATAGGGACACACGTCGTTGCCTTTTTGTCGTTTCTGCCTACGCTCCCACCGACTGCAGCTCAGATGAAGTGAAGGATGAATTTTACAGAAAGTTATCTGAACTTCTTCAGAAAGCTAAACGTTCAGACATAGTACTCGTAGCAGGTGACTTTCATGCCCAGATAGGTAGTTTAAACCAAACAGAAAGGCATTTAGGTGGGTATTTTAGTACTCCGGCACAATGAACAGATAATGGTGATCGTCTGCTGCAACTGTGCTTAGACAATCGTTTATTTTTAGCAAAAAAATTTTGAGCATAAGGAGAGACATCGTCTAACATGGAGACCCCCTACACCAAAACAACGATGGACTCAAATAGACCATATTGCCATCAGTCATCGTTGGAGAGGGTCGGTAGAAGATTGTCGCTCATTCTGGAGTACCTGCTTGAACTCCGACCACGCCCTAATTCGGGCACGCATCTGCTTGCTCCTCACTGGACGCAAAAAAAGCCACATTAAAAAGACCCATTAGAACTGAATTGAGTAGCGAGAAAACCAAAAGTAGGTTCCAGGAACAACTGAGGTCACACTTAGGTAGTTATGAAGACGAGGCTGACCCAGATGTTGCTTGGAAAGCTATACAAACAGCTGTGGAAACAGCAGTAACATCTATCAGTGATTTAAACCACAGGGTTACAAAGAACCAATGGATTTCCTCTAGGTCTCTTGCACCGATGGATTCTCGTAAACTCATCCCATCAGGCTATGAACGCGATGAAGAGCGACAACAAATTAGATCTAGGTTAAGCAAAAGTCTAAGGAACGACCGTGAGCAGTGGTGGGCAACGAAAGCAAAAGAGATGGAAAAGGTGGTGGCTATAGGGAACACAAGACAGCTTTACAGACTAATAAAAGAAACTGGAATTAATAAGTCAAGTGTAAGTCAGACTATTTCGGAAAAAGACGACACCCTCATCTGCTCTCAGTCCAGACGTTTAGAACGATGGGCGGAGCATTTCAGAGAATAGTTCAGCTGGCCTTCAGCTACTCTACAACTACCCTCCATTCCCAGACAATGTGAATGAAACATTGAAGTAGGCCCCCCAACTCTAGCAGAAGTTCAAAAGGCTACTGTTGATTTTAAGCGAGGAAGGGCAGCTGGTCCAGATGGATTGGCTCCAGAGGTCTTTAAGGATGGTGCTCCAATTTTAGATATTAGGTCGACTAATATTTTAGCTAAGATCTGGGAGTTAGACGTTATTCCATCTGACTGGTCACAATCACTTATCGTCCCAATATATAAGAGAGGGTCAAAATCATCTTGTGACAACCATAGAGGGATTAGTTTGACTAATATTGCATCTAAAATACTGGCCTCGATAATTATCATACGCCTAACTAAGACTCGTGAACTGCAAACACGAGAGAATCAAGCTGGCTTCAGACCATTCGTCAGGTTCTAGAACATAGGTATACTTATCGGCGTCCGACAATGGTGGTCTTTCTTGACTTAAAATCAGCATTTGACTCGGTAGACCGCGAGATTCTGTGGTAGTGTCTGTCATTGAAAGGTGTACCTCATAAGTACATAAACCTTGTGAAGGCTCTCTACTCGAACACTACCAGTCGAGTCAGAGCTTATGGCAAACTGTCATCTGCTTTTGTAACATCAAGTGGTGTCCGTCAAGGCTGTCTACTTTCTCCATTTTTGTTTAACTTCATCATAGACCTATTGATGTAAATAACATTCTCGTCTACTGAATCCTCGGGTATTGAACTCTTCCCAGAAGGTCCACTTATCGACTTAGAATACACAGATCAGAGTCCTGTTTGGTGAAGACGCTGATAAAGTGTTGTGTGTTTTGGTAGCACTGAGCAACAATGCCAGAATGTTTGAAATACGCTTCTCTCCCTGTAAATGCAAGTTGTTGCTCCGGGACTCGAGTGCGTCAACACCTGAACTAAGGATAGGGAGTGAAGTAGTCGAACACGTTGACAACTTCACTTATCTTGGAAGTCTGATCAGCCCTAATGGGTTGGCGTCTGACGAAATCTCAGCACGGATTCGAAAAGCTCGCTTGGATTTTGCCAACTTACGTCACCTATGGCGAAGGTGAGATATCCGTCTATCAATTAAGGGACGAGTATACTGCGCGGCAGTTCGTTCTGTTCTACTTTACGGATGCGAAACGTGGCCATTAACGAAGGGTAGAAGATACTTGTAAGCTACTAGTATTTGACCACAGATGCCTCAGAAATATTGCTGGCGTCTGCTGGGATCACTGGGTAAGTAATGGTGAGGTTCGACGCTCAGACAAACTAGCAGTAATAATTTTTGCAACTATCTTTGTACATTATTGAAACCACAAATTTTTGGTGTGGTATTGGATTGTTACATAGTTATTAATAGTTTCCTTGTCTTGTCCAACATTCACTAATGACTATCGCCACGATATAGTTGTACAAGCTTTCTATCTGAATTTCTTAACTGAATATAACATTCAAGCATTTAACGATTTGTTTGGGTATTAATTCTTGAAAAAAGCACTTATCATGTATGTGATGCAATTTTTTGGCGTGGGGTTAGTGCTTCTCGATTCACTTGAGATTTAACATCTTAGCTGCATTGCTTAAGGATATAGACAAGAGTTTCTGAAGAATCATAGGGTTTTAAAGCCACTGACAACTTGATATGTACCCAAAAACAATAGTTTTATGTGGTACATACGAGGAAAGTATTAACTGTTCGTTCATTTCACGATGCAATGGGCGCTACAGTTTGTTTTATGCAACAACTTTAACGAGTACATTGCAAAAATCAGAAAATAGTTTTTAAACAACAGTTTAAGTTGTTTATATGAAAACTAATTCATGTTTGTATTGTTAGTTATGAAGACATTATAACTTTTATATTTTATCATTAGCATGTTCAGAAAGAAATATCACTTCTTCAGAATGAAGCGGACATGCCTTTAAATCAAATACTTCCTAGTGGTTACATAGATTTCCTTTCTAACATTGATGAGCAAAAATGTTCTACTGTGTATAATCAACTTGATTCAAAAAGTAATCATCATATGAGTGGATCATCCAAAATTGGTAGCAAAACAGATGGGGATGATGGTGGTTCTTTATCTGCCATAAACAATACTTTATGCTCGGATAATGGTGATGGGGATCTCATGCAACTTGATTCGGTTAGCTCTAAATCTTCTGGAGTATCATCTTTGACAGATCATGACCACAGTGAGTGTGACAACTTACCGTCATCGAAAAGTTCATTTCATATGAATTCCCATACAGTTCTTGCACCTTGGTATTCTTCCCCCCCGCCCTCTACATCTAGTCGATTGGCAGACCTACATGCAGCAGCACTAGAATTACTCCCTCTAAAATTAGTATCAATGACAAGTACTGGTTCATCTCGTCTTATTCCTGAAGTCTGTACTCTTCCCTATAGTCCAACGCTTCGAATCCCTTGTCTTCCAACTCCTAGTCTTGGTGAGTTTGATTAAAAGCTTTTTCAACATTATTAAGTAGAATTGTATGTAACACTAACTGGTTTGAGAGTAGGGTCGTTTTACTACTTGCTCTTCTGTTAATAATCTGAAAATAATCTGATGAAAAGCAGCTGTAATAAAATTATTATTTATCATACATTTGAATTAATCTTCTTTACGCGTTCAGCTTTTGTGTTTGAAAAATGTTTTTATTAAGGAGCATTTAGACTCTCATTGCTCCCAACTTCTTTTATAATAACTTATTGATAGACTATTTTATGCCTTTGTCAAATAAACCTATTCTTTATTGAGATATCCAATTTAGTTCCCTGTTCATGAATTGTACAATTTGATTGTAGTAACCAGGTTTCCAACTTATTTTTAGGATCATTTGAAAATTTATTTTCATCTGCTTTGTTTTTTCAGGTGCAGCTGTCACCTGGATGCGACATGCTTTTGCACGGTGCGTTCCAGTGCTCTTACTAACTAATAGTCATTTGTCTGGTGATGCTGAATTGGCTGTGGCTGCACATCTCGGACAACTTTCAGTCGTTGATCCTCGACATTATTTACTTTCAGAATCGTCTGGTGAAATTTGTAATAATACAGTCACGGGTGTGTGGGGTCCTCATTTAATCGTAACTCCATGTTTATGCCTGCCGGCTTGGCGGAGGCGTTTACAAATGTGGTGCCCTGGTTTTCGTGTTGTATGTTTGGGTCTTGGTCGCAGAAGTGAACGATGTGGTACTGGACATCGCCTTCGTGACAGTGTAGCTCGGGGTTCTGTAAATATTTGTTTGATTAGTTATACTGCTTTACGCTTAAAACCCAGTCGTTTCACACGGATTCAGTGGAGTTCAGTCATTTTTGACCAGGTGAGATATCAGTCTGGTGATGAATATTGTTTATTATTCAGTCAAATATTTACAACTTTTATGAATTATAATTTCTGGCTTTTTTTACTCAATAGGTGTATGTTGTGAAATAAATCTTAAATGTGTGTATTTAAGTGATAAACTGCATTTAATTTAATAATATATTCTTTGAAATTGAATGGACCGAATATTCCATTAATTATATGAACTAGTCAGTGAGTCAAATGTAAATACTGGAAATGAATATGAATACATATACCAGAATGGGGGGGTTATGGTGATTGTATTAATTTTATGGTTGAATTCATGAGTCGATTTAACCTAGGTCACCGTGCAAAACCTGGAAGCACTAGACAGCTGTTTCGTGTGCTGTAAGACAGTTACTGAAGGCAATGGTGGATGGTCGCACAATATCATGTATTGGTTGGAGCTAGATATTAACATCGTCGGATGCCGGCTCAGTGGTCTAGAGGTTAAGTGTTCGCGCGCGAAGCCGAAATCAAGCAATTGAATATATAGGATAACTATTTATGAGTAAAAATAGACGAATAAAAGTAACTCATCGGCGTTGTGTTCATGAGGGCAAAAGTTTTAAAACTTTGGCAAGATATTTTAAAATGCACAAACATGCAGGTTTTTTTAAAAATAATCACAACTTCGTCAGTATAATCGTCTTGTATTAAATTATTTTGATGATAAATTGTTATGTTTCGACAAGAATAATGAATAGTAACTTATGGGATCCATTTATGGACCAGTACTAAACGTATATTTCTATTTTATAGTTATTAAGTAACTAAACTATGCATATTCATATTCCCCTTATTATAAACTTTATCTTGACCCATAAACTATTATTATACGTTTTACCGTTCTTGAGTTATACTCTGTATATTAATTACTACCTCCCTCATTCACAGCCACATCTGGCTAATTCTTGTACAAATGTTGTTTCATATTTTTTTGGTACGTTGTGGTCTGTTTGATTGGTATATAAACTCCGTATGTTTGAAATATAAGGATTCATATCGAAGAGGCTCGGATTAGTGTTCTGAACTTAACTGGCTGGGCTAGACAGGAAGCAGGACTAATCAGGACTCTAGGCTGCTCGCACGTGTTTTACGCGTCCTTGGTTCGATTGATAATTCACTGCTCTCTAATCGGCGGTCACAAGTTATAACATAAATATTGAATGATGCTTAAACTACATTTAAACATTGTGATTTTGAATTTCAATGTCAAATGTTTGATGAAAATAGACAGGAATAACGCATCAATCCAATTTTCGATATAATTTTAAGTAACATTATAACATTTTATAGTACCAAATTCCCTAGTCGCACTCCATCAACGTTTTTAGGTTTACCGGTTCTATCATTAGTCCTTGCACAAACTGTGTTTCTCAAAACCGAGTAAAAAAACTTATAGTCCAGATACAACGGAGTGAATGTTATGAAATTACAACTTTTGGAGCTATGATGCGAAGGATTATTATTCATATTTTTGAACTTTCGTTTGACCTAGATATTTTTGTCACGTCTTATCTTTTCAAATTTCACATCAATTGATTATTTCTATATTACTACTGTTCAAGTTATATATGAATAAGCTATGTATATAGTGCGATTTCTTAATTGTGTTGCTTTGTGGTCAGGTATTTCATGTAATATTATTATATGAGTTTTGAGTCATGATTGAATTGAATACAATAGAGAATTAATTTAATTTCTATCTTCATTTTCTGATTGGACATTGGGCTAGACAGAACTTGAAGCCCAGCAAGCGTTAAAGTTTTGTTAGTTGTTCATTGATTGGTGTGTCCATTGGTAAATAGATCATCCGTCCTACTGTCAATATTAGTAGATTAATCGATACTCAAACTACATATCATACAACTCCGCTCATATAATTATGGTACAATCAAATGTACCCTAATAAAATACACGAAAGCTGTTCATCTTTTTTCCTGTCAAATCAATTTGGATTTAGCTACTAGTGAATAAATGCGGTTAGAGAACTGCTTCGGCAATTTACAAAACCCCTTCTGACACTAATTTACAGTTTATCTATTTAATGCACACAGTAAGGCATCAAAAAGAATGTCCCACACCTATAATTCGATAATATTGTAAAGAGAAATAGGAGGATAGGGCAATATAACCAGCAAACAAATGAACAAAACTAGGGTCATCTTTCAAATATTGCACCAGAGGTCAGGATTTTGTCTGGGGTTTTCAGTAATATATATCCATATATGCCTAGGTTTGTATAAATGAATGAATGGCTCGGTAGTAAATAATAAGTAGTTTAGGTTAAAAACTTTCAGTTAGCAACATCAGTCAATACTTAGAATAGACAAGTACAAAATTTAGCAATTTAATTTGGCTGGACGGTTAGAAATATTTCAACCAATAAGGAAACACTTTATGGGCAACCAATGAAATATATGAGACTGCAATAAAAACCAGTTACTCATAAGTAACATAATTGTTATACACAAATGTTACATGTAGTAATTAACCTAAGGTACAAATCGGTTAAAAAGAACCAATCGAAAAAGATTTCCTTAATTATAAACGAATTATTTCACTTTTATGAAAGATTCGATATAAAATTCTAGGAGGGTCACCATTGACTTATATTCTGTGGCATGTCTCATAGCGTCTCAAGTCATTGTTGTGTAATCTTTAGGAGACTCCGACCGTGAAGTTGTGACGAACCGATTGATACCAGGTTCATACCATGTGATATGTTACAGACTGACTACCTTTCTGCCTTTTCCATCTGGCCCCATCATAGGCAAATAATATTCAGGGCTATCATTTTCCAAAAGTGACCAATTTTTAAGATAGCGACACATTGAATTATCATCACTGCACTCAAACACACGTTCCTAAATGTCAGAGTTACTAACTTGGTATTACCATTGGCCCCCAAGTGCCCTGGTACGACCGAGGGTGAGGAGAGTTAGCTCTCCCTCTCTAAGTGCTCTCATACGGTCACGCGTATACAGCTGCTGCCAGGGAAATCCTACTCACTACCTTTTCTCGGCGGGGGCGTTGTTTACGAAATTGAGAGGACGAAAGGCGAATGTCCTACTCTTTAACCGGGTCGGTGGATATAGGAGATTTACCTAGGGTAGTTGCAAAACCCTGAATCCAAACCAATAGTGCACGCGTGCTCCATGATCCTGAGGGCACAAATGGCGTATGGGTCATTTGTTTGTCACCGGCCACTATAGGACTGCATCTCCTGATGTTTCTCGATTGCCTTGTGAATCAGACCTGTAAGTCAAAGGCTCGGAGTGAAGCCCCCCAAGGAACCACTTGATTTGATCTAGGCACCCGGGAAACTTTATTGGCAGTGTAAGTAAGTCGTTTGGTTTAGAGTTAGCTGGCTGATTTTATCCCCACCCCATAGGATCGATCTCTCTGTGTATGACAGAACACGAACTAATTAATGAATGTAATCAAATCTTACCTGCTTCGGTCTGGGCACCTGGGCAGTATCACAGCCCACACACAAATCAAGTGACTTGTTTGACGCATATGTATTCGATGCTCCTTTGTACCAATATTTATGTGTTGAAATAAATAAATGAACATTACCATTGAGTGTTAGCAGTCTTCCGGAGACAATAATGATCGAACATAGTCACTGGATAACCTCATCTCAAAGTAGCAAGGTTTCAAAAATCACGATGTGGAACTGCTTTCAACTACTTGTTATAGCCCCAACCTTTTACAACTAGATTGTAGTCAAGACGGAATGAAATGACTAACCAGAGAGGGATAAGCTCCTTAAACATTATGCTGATTTTCTTATTTGCCACAGCACCACCTGGACTTACTTAAGGAATTTATGTTTTTCCACTACATTTTCTACCGGTTTAAATAGTTTAATCATATTTTATTTTTGTCTTCCATTCACAGATTCACCATATTATCTTACAGTCTTACAAATCCATTAATCTGGTTCATTCAGATTCTACTAATCGTCAGCCAGCTATCAGTAAGGCGAGTTCTCGGGATCACGACACCAAAAACGCACCAGTTTATTGTGAAACTGATAGTTTCCTTGATAATGTAAGAGAGGATGTTAATAATAAGATGGCGATAGATCGTTGGTCATTTCCCAATTCATCAAAAACACTAATCCACCGAAAGTCAGAATGGTTTGATTTGATATTGAACAGATTAGGCCGAAACGGTCATCGTATATTGATTAGTTCATCTTCTGATATTATTTATCATAAACATAGTCCCCATCTACTTGATATTAGTAAACTGCTGTTGTTGAATAATTTACCAACTGAGGAAAATTATGGTTCTTGGCTTAACGATTTCTTTCAAACTGTTAGTCTCCCATCACGTCAGGGTTGCTCGCCTAGTTTGTTAACAAAACCATCAAAGAAACAACTTTTAAAGGTGAGTAGTACGTACTTGGTATATAAATGTATACTATTAATAAATCTTTAACTCAAAGGTCAAATTACTAAACTTTCAATATTTGTGTCCCATGTTCGAAACACTTTTCGGGGAATTCGCTTTCGTAATGATTGCCATTCATTGGCTGAACATTAATTTTCAGGATTAGTCACTCAGCTGCAATCAACACAAAAGCCAGCAAAGACATGCGTTGGCTCAAGCTATCATACCGGATTATCGAGAGGTAAAATTAACGAGAATCGCAAGAAAGATAGAAATAATGTGATAGTAATGACGATTGGAAAGATCGATCACTAAGAATGTGATATGAAAAGATAGAAAAAAGAAAAGGATGTATATTGCAAATCAAAATTGGTAGAAATGTGAAGAATGGATCGAAATGTGCCATTGTAACCGATTCTGACTCCTATCACCTAACTTCTCCAAATACTAATCTCGGTTATCACACACACCTCAATCAAGTTTTCTGTACACATCAACACGGTTCAGACCCACATTCATTAATTTCATGAACTGACACTGTCTCGTGTTCGCCATCACTAGTTATTTCAGTGATTATAATCCAACCCATCTATACCGTGAGGTGTAATGTTTGTTTACATCAATGGCTTTCTAAAACAGTGGTTGCATCTATTTAAACTAGTAATACAATCAATCTGTGGGATTCTGTTTAATGACAGTTGGTTGTCGGATGCAATCACTTGCAACCAAACTAAAGTTCATGTCGTTTTATGTAAGTGCGTATTCACAGTCTATTTCGAAAAATAATACAGTTCGATTCAAATAAAGCTTATTTGACATAAAAATTGATAAGAGCATCACATAAAACGGAAGAGGGAAGATCATTTACTCATAACAAGAATAGAAATATTAAGGGATAGTTTAAATATAGATCCAAGGTAGATAGATTCAACTTATTTAAAATAGAGATTTTAGATCATGTTCAATCGTGTCTCAAGCCAGTAAGTTTTGGAGTCAATGATATTTTGTCCAAAAAATCTCGACAAATCAAGAGACACAAACAGTACATAATTATCGTGTAGTAAACTAGTCTAGTCTCTGCTTCTATCATCCACTTCTATTGATTGCAAACAGTACTTAGATGACCTGTAAAACGCTTGGCATAATGTAGATTTATGTCACTGGATTCTATTTTTCAGGTTTATATCACCGGTTAAATAATAGTTACAGTTATTCCCAAACACACGTTACCAAACCATAGTATGACTTACAATGTATCGGCACGTAGTGATAATCAAATACACTTAACTGTTTAATAACATTGGTTTAAAATGATCTAAGTTGATGAGGCGAAGTAAGCATACCCATTACTAGTTATTTTTAATATTTGGCTCAATAGAGCGGTTGTCTAGTGGTTAGGCCGTTTGACTTTCAACTACTTATTCTCGAGTTGAAGTCCCGTTCCACCTATTTCGGCCTGGGTAACCGGCTCGTATCATTCGACCCCATCAGTTGTATCAGTTTTAATATTAACACTGGGAAAAGCTTCTGGAAGAATAAACAGTTGACTAGTGTTAACAGGTTGATTTTTTAGTTGAGTAAGTTCAAATAATTCCTCTTGCCCTGGTACGGCCGAGAGTGGGGAGAGTCCGCTCTCCCTCTCGAAATACTCTCACACGGCCACGCGTATATAGCCTCTGCCAGGGAAGTCCTACTCACTGCCTTCTCGTGGCGGGGGTGTTGTTTACGAAAATGAGAGGACGAAAAGCGAATGTCCGGCGCTTTAACCGGATTCCAAACCAATGGTGCACATGGGCTCCAGTATCCTGCGGGAACAAATGGCGAATGAACCAATTGTTGGTCACCGGCTTCCATGGGACTGCATCTCCTTACGATGCTCCACTGCCTTGTGGATCAGACCTTCAGGTCGAAGGCTCGGGGTGTGGCCCCCTAAGAAAACCACCTGCTTCGGTTTGGGCACCCGGGCAGTATCACAGCCCTCACACATATCGAATGAGATTTGTGTGGCGCATGTGTTGAAATAATAATAATAATAATAATAATAATAATAATAATAATAATAAATCTTGCAGGTTTCACTGAATGTCACTCACGTTCCTTTCCCACTTTTCTCTTTGTACTACTGAATATAATTGAATTTTGTTTTTCTCTTATGTTCTTCGACCGATCAGTTTTTAGATCCGTTCGTCATGCGTTTCGACGACGAAGACGAATGGGACTCACTTATCAATGATGAAGTTATTGAATGCCGTATGTCCTCTGTACAACAGAAACTTCATGATAAAATATTGAGTACAAAAGCGTAAGCTATTGTTTATTCTATCGTGTTTCGTTTTTGTTTTATGATATATCATTATTGTCCGGTTTAGGTAAACTGTTGTGCTGATCATCAGAATAACCTGATTCAACTCATTTACCAGATACAGATTTGTGTACTTGGTCTCGATCCATACTAAGTATGAGGGCCGGTGATACTTCTTTCTTACTACTATGTTTATAAATTGCTTGAATTTGTATCGACGTAAATGTTATGGTTCAGATTTTTAGATTCAACATATTTTTTAATGTTGTTATTGTACACTCATTTTACTGAGTGTTTACTCAAATAATCAGTTTTTTTTACATTTTGTTTTACAGTGCTGAGAATGCTCTGAAAACTGGAAATCTATTAGATCTCTTACAAACAGTTTCAGTTGCTGTGCGTGCTTGCAATCATCCTTCTTTAGCTGGAACTCATCCAAGATCCTCACGAATGTTTAGACATACTTTGGATAATTTACAAGCTGGGGTCCATGCTGTAAATGGTCCGTATGTATTCAAATCTCTACAAAAGATATGCGATCCAAATAATCACTACTATTCCAATTGTGGTCTTATGTTTAGCACTCCAGAGTCAGTTTTGTTGGGTGTTAAATTACTTCGACATACTGAATTATCTGACATAACTTCCCAATTCTTCAATTTGTTCGAAGCTCTCAAACCATCGGCTTATATTCGCAGTCGTATCGCCGATCTTACGCCTCAATTCAGCCAGTTATTATCACCACCAATTAATCCTCAAATGTTGAGTAATAACAGAAATGTTACTATTTCGGAAATTGTGTCAAACTCAGTGGATTTTTCGCCAGAATCTCATATTCCAAATGGGAATCTGGAAAGTAATTACTTCAGACAGGGAAACCAGTTAACAAATGGTTTTCCTCAGTCTCAACATTTGGACTCTGAAAACTGTGTGGATCCAGACATTGAAATTGTAAGTATTCCTCAAAGACAGAAACGACAAAGAAGTTCCGTTGTCGATCGGAATTCAGTTTATTCCAAACGACGTCGAGTGGAAGAGTACGGTTCTCGTCTTCCTTTTCTTGATTACACTGATATAGGATCTACTAGTTATCATAAGAGCTCCGACTGGTCGTCGAGTCACTTTAGTCTTATTAGTGACCCATATATGGCCCATTCTGATCAGTTTAGAAGTACAACAAGTAAGTTACCTACTGGTTACTTTTTGTTTCGTTATTTCTATTGTCATATATGCTTTAACGAAGTTGTTAGGTCCATGACGTTCATATACCGTTGCTAGTTTTGAACACTCTTTTTTGATTATTCGCTTCAAAATTGGTCCCAATGCTATGTTAACACCTTTGTTTATCCTCCTGTATATTTTTAGTATTTTATTCTTTTATACCTTTTTAAATTTGTCTTTTTCTCAGATTTGTAATCATTTTAAACCTTGACTACATCTAAAATCAATTATAACTAGGTTAGTATATAAAATCATAAGACACATACTGTAATAGCTAGTAATTATGTTTGACTGTTCAAATCTTGGTAAATAATGTATGTTCTGAATCCATAAGGGACAATTTAAACTACTTTAGTGGCCCTGTATTTCACTCCAATTAGGTTGTATGATGATTGTTATCGAAATATACATGTTGCCAACCCTCATATATAATTATCGGCTTAATTTGCGTTAGAGAATAACGGAATAAAATAAGCCAAATACTAGAATGGGTTTTGAATTCATATATTTTGAACACTCATTGATCCAGAGAGAATAAGAGAATTGAGGTGAATAAAGAAAAGCTAAGAAAACGAAACGAAGTGACGCGCAGAGTAGGTGAGTGAGCGAACCCGTTTCGATTAAGCGTGACTCACTATCTATATTCAGACAAGAATAAGTTACAGACAGACACGTGATGAATAAGACAAGCATTTAACACATATACGACCATATAAAAACAGAGTTAATAGGCGAATAATTGACAAGTTGAGAATGTAGTTTGAGAAGAGTGAGTAAATTAGTCTGTCCAGAAGCTAGAATAGCCTGTGAATTTGATATAGTACCAGCCACTACACTACTACTAAGGCGTGTCTATCAAACTGACTTAGTTTGTCAAATTTTTCTTTTGATTGAGATATTGGGTCAATCAGTGTTAAACTACTATTGAAAACCTTGAAGCACTGAACGATCGTTTCATCCTAGTACGGGACTCCTCAGCAGTGCTCATCCGCGATCACTCACATGGGATTCAAACCCAGGATCTTCGATCTCTCGCGCTTAACCTCTAAACGACTGAGTCGGCATTCAGCGGTGTTAATGTTTAACATCAATCGATTCATGACATTAAGCGATCATTCTACCATTATATTTAGTGGGTAACTGCCTCACGCTCGACACGGATTAGCTCCACCGATCACAACTTCTTACTAAAACTTTGCGAATTACCTCTCGAATCTAGTCTATTTTCTGTAAATTATTTCATGTAATCCAAATTAATTCGTGTAAAAAGACAGTTTGTATATTTTCATTTTGTATAAAGGTTATATAATCTTCTAGAAAAATTAATGTACTTTCTAGACTAATCTAATGATTCTTCTCATGTTATGTAAATTTTATTATTTTATTTTATTTGAACACATAAATATTGGTACAAGAGGGCACCAAATACATATGCACCACACAAAACAATGAGAATTTGAAGAGAAGAAGGAAAAAAAGTAAGGAGCGTAAAAAAATAACGTACAGATTAGTGTAAGGTAGTGTAATAATAATAATGAGGGAAACGAAAAGGTACAATCAGAAGAAATGTTCCAGTTAAGGAAGAAGCAACCACTTTTTATGGAGAAAGTAAAAGAAGGTTACAGCAGGATCGCCGTTGGCTTCTATTCTGAGCCATATCTGATAACGTCTCTAGCCACTGTGTTGCACCATCTCTCGGACCTCAGCCAGGGAGTCATGAAGGACCAATAGAAGCCAGCTCTTTGCAGCTTTCTTTCATACCACGACACCATGTCATACACTGACCACCTCCGCTTCTTCTAACCAGTCTTAACGTCGGCAAATAATGCACGACGTGGAACGTGTTATATAAAGAAGTTTTTTCAAACTTAGTAAATAAACAGAATTACATTTAGATATTTGTATATTCACGTACATTGTTCATGAAAAGATTTAGTTCATAGGTAACATACTTGTTTATCCATTTATTTCTTTAAAGATAAACATATTTTAGCTTCGTTCGTATTTTATGGACCCTTTTTTTGTCTACAACATATTTTAAATATCGTTTTGTAAGTTTTTTCATTTAGGAATTTCTTGTATCTATGGATTAATTTGTTGTAGCTACCTTTCTTTTTGAAAGAAAAAGGAAATTTAGGATGACAGATTATGGCTTTATGGGGAAAACTACATTTAAGTATATTTTCATTTTATACCGTGACATTTCATTATACATATCTATATACGTATATGTATATATTTCAGATGTGTCTAATAATCTCTCTCATACTGTCAATCATAACAATTCCTACAACTCAAATGATCATTTAAACAATAATAATAACAACAACAGTGATAATCATTTAAATGTAAGTTTATTTCATCATTTTTAATATGATTTTGTGTTCAATACTTTCTAGTTGTATCTATGCATGTTAGTTTGTACGGTATATACACGTGAAGTAAACTAACATTGACATTCGTTTTGTCCAATTTTTAGTTGATGTTTTCACAGGTAGGAAAAGAAATGCCAATATATTGATTTTCGGCTAAATTACTTCATAACAAAATTTCTCCATTCCTTAATTTCTCTTCTCAATTTAATAATAACAATCTATGTATCATATATGGATTTTACTTATAGCTTATGGCTATAGAAATATTATGAACTCCGTGTTATCTTACAGTTTAATATTTGTTACTTCTTTTTAAAACATTCATTCTTTACTAATTTTGTTTTGGTTTTTACTTTGTTTACCTAAAATGCACTACTACTAAATCATATGACCAATGTTTGTTTAGTAATGGGACTCATTTTGTTAACAGTGTTTATAACGTCAAAACTCGTTTATATGAATGGGTATATAAAGCGGTAGCTTAGTGGTTAAGGCATTTAATTTTCAGCCGTTATTTTAAAATATCGGCTTTCTCACCTTGGAAATGTTTTAAAAATATCATCTCAAAGTCTCACACATCAAGTATTGATTTCCAAAACTGAGACTGGATGGAAAAGCTGCAGAGGTGGTCAGTTTGTGACATTGTGTTGTTGTGGTGAGAAAGGGAGCTGTATACTACTGGAACCTATCATTGCACCTCAACTGCCTGGTTTGAGTTCTAAAGATGATACAACTCAGTGGCTTAGTATTTTAATTGAAGTGACTCGAAATAAAAATCAGTGGTGGCCCCTCAGTAATTTGCTACTATTTCCTTTAAAAAGGGGAGAAGACTCCATTAACCGAATAAAGTTATTATTGATTGTATTTTTAAGTGAGATTTACATCCTACTACATAGTATTCTTGTAATTTTTATCATTATTAACTCTTCATCTATTCACAATGTCACTGTTTTATCTGTATAATGATGATCACATATTAAGGTCCCGTTTGTCCCACGATACTTGCGAATTGATGAACAGTTAAACTATCCAAATACGAATTATTCTATTTTGAACTCGATAATAGCAGCTGGTACATAAAACATCAACAAATGGCCGGCAAGACAAGATGGCGAATTGTAGAAATAACTTGATACTCAAGCAGAACAATTTGACATAGTACAACTCTGTATGTGTAGTGACAAGAACATGATCATTCATCAAACAAAAAGTTTACGAACTAAAGGTAGTGGCAACTAATCAGAATTGAGCTAAGATCGTGCGAAGAAAATTGATTGAAAAAAACGCTGTCGGTTACTGTTACTAGCAAGACTTTGACATTAACAAAAATCGAGTAATCCTGTGATCGTCTTGGCAGTCGCCTATACAATTTCGATTTCCGATTATTCCGGATTTTATGTGAATAAGCAAAATAAGACAGTTACCGCTTTATGCTTTGGTTTATCTATCTGTGTATCATTATTATTATCGTCATCCTTAAACGTAACAGTATTCAACTTGATAACTTTCCCTATGGTGAAGTAAGAGACATTAAGGCATTATTACTTCTTTAATTATTGTGTTGTTAATTATCTAGGAAAATGCATATCCTTGGCTAATCGATAACCATCGTAAATGTACTCAGCTAATTGGTTTTGCTGATTGGTGTTCCCAGGATACATGTGATCTTCTACGCTTAGATTTATTATCTGATTATACTACTTCAGATTCCAATGCTTATTCCAAAAATTCACAATTTAAGTCTTACAATGTTTACTCTTATAAGAAAGAATCCGATATATGGAATATTGTTCTAAATCAATTTTCACAATGGAATAATTTTACGAGGTAACATTTTACTAATTCTGTTATATTCAACATGTATTTGTATGTGTACATTAGGTTAGAAGATTGAATTAGTCAAGTTGATAAAAAACTTACAACTCATGTTTAAATCATAACATATCCTCCCTTTCATATTCTTTATTTATTACTACCATTTTGTGGTTCGTCAATCTGACTCCGCGAATTAGATCATATGATGATGGTAGCAAAATATACATCTCGGCTACCCTCGTACATAATTATCAACATAATTCGCTTTAGAGAATAACGGAATAAGATAAGTCAAATACGAGGATGAATTTTGAATATGTCCATTTCGTAAACTCGTTGATCTGGATGGATAATCAGAGAAACGATGCGGAGAAGGCCAGTGAGCCAACTCGATTTGATCAAGCGTGACTCAATATTTATAACCAAAAATAAGCAACAAATATATGACGAGTAGGCTAAACAATGCACATACATACATAAAAAAATCAATATTAATCAATGAATGTTTAACAAGATCAAAATGTAACTCAAAAAGAATGGATAAGCTGGTTTGTCTAGAAGCTAGAATAACCCATGTGAGCTTGGCATAACACCAGATATTACACCATCAGCATTGGCTTTTAGGAGGTAATATTGTTGATTTTGGAAGATTCTCAATACTGCTATGATAGTTCATTCCGATAGTTTACATAATTAAATTCTTTGTTTTTTATTGTTTACTTTGATGTCTATAATCATTCAAGTAAGGAGATAGATGGGTGGATACAAAACCTTTCATCTATGCTTTTATTGTACATTTGTCAAGGTGGAGTGTTAAATAGTAAACTTTTCAACAATATAACTAGTTCATTAACATTGTTAATAAATAGGGATTTTGACTAACAATAAATGTTTGATTTGTTTATCAAATCACCATTCTATTTACATATAAAGTTACGCTTCCATAATAGAAATATTTTGATAGGTTTTTTTAAATCAGAGTATAGAATTATTCATTCTCAGTATTTTAACTCAATTTTGTTTTGTGATATATACATGTATATATTCATAGAAGCAACACTGTTCAACTAAATCATTAATCGGCTGATTTAACACAAATCCTTTTTTTATTTCATTTCAGTGCACTGTGTACGCGACCGCGTGTGATTGCCACACCTGCCCGACTAATATCTCGTGCAGGACCTATTAATCCTTTGCTATTGTTTGACAAAAAGAAAACAACTTCATTATTGTCCAATCTATATTGTCCACAATCATCTTGGTCATTTTCTATGTATCCATCAATTTTGCGTATAAGTCATACTTTCTATCCTCTAACAGAACAAGCACGTTGGTTGACACCTTCATGCTGTTCAAAGATTGGATTTCATTCCTCATTGTTGTCGTCATTTAGCGGCAACTCTAAATCATCTATCAGTCAGTTGTTACTAGAATCAGGTAAATACATGTATAATCACTGTGATATCATGTAATTATTACGTTACGCAGCTACTCGATGAGTTTTTTTATTAGATGTCGAAATGGAAATCTTCACTATACTGAAGTATATATGAATTCCTGCTGTGTTTATGCACTATTATAGTTAAACTGTGGTTTCATTATATTGTTTAGTAGAAAAGATTCGTTGATAGAAGTGAATAAACTTTATCTATACAATTACTGTTGTAGTTAGGCGGATTAGTATTCATTTAATTTCTAACTACATGAAAATTCGTTACAAATAGCAAACGCTGTTTAGACGTGACTGCAACTCATACATATATTAGGAGATTTTGATACGTAATGCACAAAGCTGTGCAATGATGCAGGAAATGCTCTTGTATCACATAAACCAAATCGGCAAATACATATAATAAACTATGCTTTTTATGTAATGGTTGTTGATCATCAGCCGACTTCCCTAACTGTTTTAGTACCTAGTGCGAATTTAAAATCTGTCCCTCAAACAGTTGAAAGTCTAGTGCTTAAGCTAATAACTCAAATTTTAGACTGACATTAAGTGCTAAAATACAATACTCTGTCAGTAATGTAACTTGGAAACGATCACACTGTTGTATTAAACTCTTCAACTGACCGACCAAATAATTTAGAACATGTTGTAAAAGTGACGCATATGATATTAAACTTGTTTACAAGGTAAACGGTTCAAGTTTAGTATAGGTATTGTGATTAGTCATTTTTGAACATTTTTAAGTAGATGTGAATTCATCCGGTAATAAGATCTTAAATCAATAGTTTGACAATATATATTGTTCTGTCTAGTATGTCGAAATTTATACACAAATATGTTAATTGCATGCAAATAATTTAGTATACAGTTATGCAACAATACTGAAGCACACGATAGAAAAGAATGGAAAACTGTTGTTTATAAGAAAACCTTAACTGTTTAAAAAGTAAATATGTAATACAACACTTCTTTGTACATAACTTACAGCATGAGTTTAGGAGAACTTGTGACAATTTAACAGTTACCTGAATAAGATAAAATGATGCACTGTCAGCCAACTAAGATTCGGTTGATCTAACTGTATATCACGATGACATCTTGGTAGGTTTAAAAAAACTTCTCTATTGTAACGCGTTAATTTTATTCTTTAAACCAATTCGCCACTAGAGATTGGTAATAAAATTAACTTGTCTTATGCTTTCACGGTCACGTACTGCTCAGTGTGTGGTTCTAGGGGGGAAACGGTTACAAATAATCATACCTGCCTTTTTTCAATCGGTTACCGTTTGGTCGTCATAGATCCAATTTTTCATTAACCTTCTGACATGCATAGACGTGCATGTGTATATCCGTGCTATATTATTAAACCGCATATATAATAGATGCAACTCAGGAACAGTAAATATGCTTATCGACCTGATGTGAAATCTGTTTTGGTTGTTATTCGTACAAGTTATGCAATGTGTATGTGTGTGTGCAAATTTTAAACGTTTTTCCTTCATAATTCTTCATATGTACAGAATCTATAATCGTTTACTTCGTCATTGTAATTGTTTTGTCCTCTTTTTTCTTGTTTCAGGTAAATTTTATAATTTACATCAGAAATTAACCAAATTGCTTGGTGTAAAATCTAATAGTACTAATACTACTACTAATGGTAATAATAATCATCTTGAAAAACGTCCACGTTGTATATATTTTATAGCGCATCAAACTGCTTTTCTCGATTTATTGGAAGCTTATTTATCAGCATCATCGTGGCGTTTATTTCATCGTGTACGTATTCCATCAAATTATAAATCAGTTAATGCTAATACCTGGTCACTAATTGATTGTATTAATAGTTGGCCTCAAGGTACAATTGGTCCACTATTAGTACTAATACATGCACGAAGTCCAACTACATCATTAATTAGTTTACGAGCTGATTCAAATGTACACATTATCATATGTGATGTTGATTGGCGAGTAGAAGTCACAGATAATTTGAAAGCCATGTAAGTATGTTTGAAATCCACTTTTTTACTTTACAAGGCTTTTTTATTCACTTGTTAAGATGTTTGTAGCTCTCTTGTATTTATTCATAGACAGGTGCCTTTGCAAGTTTGCTGAAACTGTATTTGACTAAAAGTTTCAGTTCAAATGGTTTAAGCATTTAAATCCAGCCATTTAAAATTTGAGTAGTTGGACATCATACAATAATTGTGATTTATTTCTGTGGGGTTCTTTAGTGAAGTGTATTTTCATTTAGTTCATTATATAGCTATAATTTCGACGTCCATCTTCATTGGTGGGTTTAAGCTGATATATATAGCTTTAACCTTTTACCACACTTGACACCAAATGCTTTTTCCTCCTGAAAATTTTGGCATATGGGTCAATTGTTTGTCACCGGCTACCATAGGACTGCATCTCCTGATGTTTCTCGATTGCCTTGTGGATCAGACCTTTAGATCAAAGGCTCCGGGCGTTGTCATTTATGGAAACCATCTGATTTGATCTGGGCACCCGGTCAGTATCACAGCCCTCACACACATATCGAATGAGATTTGTGTGGCGCATATGTATTTGGTGCCTCTTTGTACCATTATCTATGTGTTGAAATAAATAAATAAATAACACCAATGATTAATTTTGAGTTTATAAGATGAATTTCAATTAGACATATTCTCTTAATTAAAAATTTCTAATGAGTCTTTAATTATTTTCATTTATAGTATTCATAGTTGGATATTGAATGGTTTGTCATTTTATCCTTCACCTTCTTCATCATTATCATCTATTTGTTTTAAAAATGATAAAAAACAAAAAATCAATATTTCTCGTTTATTATCAACTAATGATTATAATTATTCTACACATCGTATTAGTGTTGAAGCATGTTTATTACGTGGTGTAGCATGTCGTCTATTACCTAGAGCTGTATTTCATGCACATTCAACAACTCATGTTAATTGTCGTTCATTATTATTTGCAAGAGTTCAACCAAATGTTGTCAATGAATTATTATCTGGTATAATACAAATTAAAAAATTATCAAATCGTCAATTATTTATACAACAAAAAATTAAATCAAATGAATATGAACATTTAGATTTATTTAATGATCGTAATTTTTTTGGATCTATTCATAAACATGATACATTATCACATTCATCAACATCATCTATTGCTTCATCATTTTCATATATTGGACAAGAAAATCGTTTAAATGAATCATTAATTAATAATGAAAAAATAATTAATGAAGATGATGATATATTATTATTTCATGAAAGAGAACCATTAAGTGAACTTTTAGTAAGTAGTTGAATTAATTTATTTCTGTTAATATTATTATTGTTATAATTATTATTATCAATAATAATAATATGGGGGAGTCCTTTGGTGGGTTATAATCTGTGTCGGTTGCAACAGTTATCTACTACTGTTAATGGATGAAGGGTTGCACAAGGTTGTGGATTGATTGAAGTTGGGCGTTAACACTATTGGATGCCGCGTCAGTGGTTTAGAGGTTAAGAGTTCGCGTGTGAAACGGTGGACTCTAGGTTCAAGTCCAGTATGTGGGATCGTCGATGCTTACTACTGAGCAGTCACATACTAGAATGGAACGACCGTCCAGTGGTTCCTGTCTTTTCACAGTAGTCTATCTTAAATTGACCATTAAATTAATGAAATCCCTACAAACCCCATTCTGATAATAATCACTATGTACCCACTAGTGACTGACTTCAAGATGTATTTCCTGGAGTTCTAGTGAGAAGTCGTGATCGGCGGAGTCCAATCTGTGTCGAGTGTGAGGCGGTTACTTACTGAAGATAATGGTAGGTGGTCATGCAACATCATGAATCGATTGATGTTAGACATTAACACCGGCCGATGCCAGCTCAGTGGCCTAGGGGTTGTGTTCGCGCACGAAACTGGAGGTCTTGGGTCGGAGTCCCGCGTGTGGGGTCTTGGGTGAGCACTACTGAGTATTTTCATTCTAGGACGAAACGACTGTCCATTGCTTCCAGGTTTTCAATGGTGGTCTAACATTGATCGATTCATGAATTCAACTATTAAAATAGTGTAATTAGCGTAATAAGCAAATGAACTGTAGTGCTTTCGAATACAATAATTCTATAATATGAAATAATATCAAACTTTACCAGTGGTAATAATGTCATCCTACCAGTCACTGGAGTTCAATCATAAGTGATAATACAAACGTGGCTACATTGGTCGAATTTCTTTCTGAATGTTAATAAAATTTTACTTCAATTATTGAGTACACTGAAGAGTAATCTGTCGACTTTGCCACTGGATGACAACCAAAATACTACCATGATCGATTACTTAAGGTAGTATTTTAGTGTTTGCACATCTCAGCAGTGATCTTGTACCAAAGTGTAGTTCAGCTTACTTTGTCTAAAAACTTCGATTTTTCGGACAAAATGTATTAAAAAGCCATAACCATCTCGAAATTTATATTTAGGTCTCAAACAGTTAAATTTCTTGTTTAAGTCTATCATATTTAAACTTTTGATGGTTTTATTTTTCTTCAATAATGCATTTCATTGAAGCTTCATCAAGCATTGGAACTTTTTGAAGACCCAATCGATACACAAGCATGGTGTTGTACAAATGCTGAAGAATTAGCCATTGTCAATGAATTTGTTTCTCAAGATGATGATAATGTAACAGATGATTTTCATTATTTGATCGGTGATGGTGAAGGTGACTTAGAAGATGATTTGAATTATAAAATTTCTGATGAATTGGATACAAATTTTGTACAGTTATCAGATTATAATGAACGGAAATCTTATCAAGATTGTCTAATGAAACAGTTAGGTTATACCGATTTAATTAGTTGGGAAGTTGCTAATTATGAATTGTTATCTCGTATATCACTACTTGAAAGTCAATTAGACAATGAATCGAATCATGATTGGTTAAGTTATCATAATCATCCTTCTCCTGTTAATCATAATGATGACAATTCTCTAGTTGATCGAAATGAACAACAGCACTCACAACATATTAAATCATCTACTCCCGATGTAATATCTTCTTACTCTCAACTTCCAGTGAGTTCGACTTATTATAAACTTTTATGCTATTAATTGTTCCAAGAACAATTTTTCAAGAAAGGATCTCTAAGGTATTTCATCTTATAATGTAGAAAAGCTTATAGATATTCGACTATATTATGTCTCCGACAAATTGTTGCAAATAGTAGTAAATCTGTGAAGTGAATAAACAATTTTGGGGCTAGAGGTCTTCTGTGTAGGATGTGTAGACCAATTGTTGATTGTTGTGAAACTGCACCATTGTACAGGTTCAAGAACACGTTGTTCAGAATGCCATACTGTGTTATCAATGATTTGAAATTTCATCTCACAATCATTTTTATTCAGAAAAGGTTTTAGTTTAACCATTTAATAAATGCTCTTAAATGTGTTCCTTGAAGTTTGGTAAATTTTTAGAAAGATCTTGATTATGCGATTAATCGGGATGAAGTTATCAGTAGCACTATATCTTCAGTTTATCGTATTTTAAAGAATTGTGCCTAGTTATTGATCAACTTGATTTCTTGTTGTTGTTTTTGTTTTGCACACAATAAAACTGAATGTAATTAATGAATAAAAGTATTTCTAAAGGTCGATATCTTGTGACGTTTGTGCATCATATGTTTTTGTATGCGTACAATAGACAGATATACCTTTTAAATGGTGTTATGTTTATTGGGTAACGTACTTACTTTTATGTAACTGTAATGCAACAGGGACTGTCTATCAATTGCATATTAGTTTATGATCTCTCACAGTTTCGAATCTAAAAAATGAGAATCTCATTTTGAAGGCATATTTAAAATCTAACCATTTTCATAGTGTCACTTTAATTTATGACTACGGATTCAGAAAGCTAATTCGGCTTTTGGCGACTTATGTCACTTGTGATGTGGGCGAGATATTTATCTCACAACTAAGTTGCGAGTTTATTGTGAAATAGTTCGTTCTGTTCTACTTTATGACTGTGAAATACTTTTTAAAGTGGTGGATATTCGTAGGTTACTACTTTTTACTCATAGGTGCCTTCGAAGCTTCGCTCGTGTATTTTGGGACAACCCAGTTAGCAATGTTGAGGTTAGAAACAGGGTTCTGTGTAAAGATGGCTAATTGATTGATAAGATAATCAGTCTTTGTTGTCTGAGATGATCGGGACCTATATTACTTATGCTCAACCACTGTATACCTCACTATGCGATGTTTACTGGTGTAGGAGTAGGCTGAGAAGAATTCAGAAGTCATCAAACCTGAGCGTCGGATTAATCTGTGAATTAAACTGTTGAAATGAACCGTGTAATTTATTTCAGACTACCTGGATGGAGTTCGCGTAATTGTCCTTACCAGGGATTAAAGACTGTGTGATACGGTTCGGAATCGGTTACGCTAGCACAGATGCATTCTACGTTTTGTCTGAAAATACTCATACCATTTGTCTGTTCTTATTAAATCATGTTTTTTATGACTAATTGTGTTTACTAGTACTGACATTTCTACCTCATACTGTTCTGATATTGTAATAATTTTATCTCACTTTAATTGATCGCTTGTTGGAACTTGACTCGATGCAAATGTGTTTCAAATTCTACATTGCATGTGACTAACAGACTTTTATTTATAATATGAAATTTGCGGATGATTCATTTGTATTCGAAATATGCCAATGTAATTTTCTAAGTTTATTTCTTCAAATTTATAGTGATTTGTAAAAAGGTATAAATGACGAGACGGCAAGATCTTTTCTCATATTGTTATCATTATTATAATAAATAATTTATTTATTATTTTAACACATAAATATTGGTACAAGGAGGCACCAAATACATATGCGTCACACAGATCTCATTCGATATGTGTGAGGGCTGTGATGCTGCCCGGGTGCCCAGACCGAAGCAGATGGTGTTCTTAGGAGGTCACACTCGGAGCTTGCGACCTGAAGGTGTGATCCACAAGGCAGTGGAGCATCGTAAGGAGATGCAGTCCCATGGAAGCAGGTGACCAACTATTGGTTCATTCGCCATTTGTTCCTTTAGAATACTGGAGCCCATGTGCACCATTGGTTTGGGATCCGGTTAAAGCGCCGGACATTCGCTTTTCGTCCTCTCATTTTCGCAAACAACACCCCCGCCACGAGAAGGCAGTGAGTAGGACTTTCCTGCCAGAGGCTATTTCCGCGTGGCCATGTGAGAGCATTTCGAGAGGGAGATCGAACTCTTCCCACTCTCCGCCGTACCAGGGCATTTGGGGGCATGATAAATAATAAAAAATATTTTACAGTTTATCATTCAATTCTTTTTAATAAATCTGATAATTGTTGCATGCCATCATTTTTCTAGATTTGGTGTCCTTTCGAGTCATATCTAAAAAATTTACATTCAACATCGGATACTAATGAGTCAATGATAATGGTTGTTAAAGATGAATCTAATCATCTTTTAACATCTAATGAAGATTATTATTTATATTCAAATGATGATTGGGCTTCAGATAGTGTTGGATTTAATTTCGGTTATGAAAGTGTTCCAATGACTGAAAGTGAACTACCTCCTTTGATTATACCAACGCCATCTCCGGTTATTCAAAACAACAATATTAGTATTAATAATAATATTGTTGATAGAAAGACAGGAAGACGTCGTCCTATTATGAATCATTCATCTTTATCATCATCATTATCTTCTAGACCATTAAATGATAATATTAATAATAGTATTGGTCATGTTACATCATCATCATCATCAACTTATCGTAATGGGTCTCGATTAAATAACAGAAATCTTAAAAGACGAGCATTAACTAGTCCAACAAATTCACTTCCTCGTAAAAACAATTCATCATCAACCGCTTCTTACTATAATACCTTTGATGAATCATCAACTACACATATTACAACAAATACGGGTTCAAATTTAGGTAAGTGTAAGAGACAATTCACATTGTGTATGCAATTAATTAGTACTTAGGTAATATATTAAAGATAAGGGAAGATTAAGATTACCATATAAAACAATTTATTACACCAAGTTTTAATTCATGCTAATCTTTATTCTAATCATATGTTTCCAAAGTCTTACATTTTTAATGACTGATTATTGCGTTAAATCACATTAGTTAATGTATGAGTTTTTAAAGTCCAACAATCGTTTTATTTTTTAAAGAACAATAAACATTTTTTATAGTTTCTTTATACTATTGATTTAGAAATTTGTAAATGACTTAATTGATTTCCATTATGTTTATTAACATTGAAATTATAATTATATAATAATTGATAATAATATACCTATACTATTTAGTGCTCAGATTAAATTTTACTCATTGATATTTAAAGATGTAACTGACACATCAATAATGGTTCTTGTTATTCATTTGAACACATAAACATTGGTACAAGGGGGCATCAAATACATATGTGCTATACAATAACAATGAGGCCAGTAGTAGTTACTATTGATTTGTATGAGAGATGAGTTACTTTCTGGGTGCCCAAACCGAAGCAGATGGATTTCGTTTTAGGAGCCACCGCCCGAGCCTTTGATCTAAAGGTCTAATCCACAAGGCAATGGAGGAACGTCAAAAGATGCAGTCTCATGGTAGCCTGTGACTAATAATTGGTGTTAGTTGTATAGGAATTTCTAAAACATTTCCACAAATTTCTAAATCTATTCAGTTTCATCGGAACAGTGTGACACTTGAAATTATCAGTAACTATCTTAGAGAAAGAGAAAGATAGCTGTGAATATGAAGATTTGAATCACTTGTGATAATCTGTTATAAAATGTATTGTCTAATCCTAAAAGAAAATAATCATATTTTCTACTTTATATATATATATATATATCACCCATTTTTAGCTTTTAATGTGATTTGCTTATATTTAACTCATTGTGCATCCCATGAATTGTAATTTGTTTTATATGATTAGTGTGTTTTACCCAAATAACCTTTTAGTCACCTTCATACATGAACAAAGTTTCTTTTGTTTTTAGCTTCTATCGAAAATGAAGCTCGAAGTCAAGATGGTCGAATGATTGGTCTACAACAATCACATACACGTGACCTTTCGTCTACCGGAGTCACTATTTCATCAACATGTTCCACTGGAAATAATACAGTATCTCTTTCTCCTATTTCATCGAGTACAAATATATATACAAATAATTCAATTGTTCTATCATTACATTCTTCTATAGGTAATGCTAGTGGCAATTCAGCTACTTCAAAACTACATATCCCACGAGCATCCTATAATAAAGCAGTTACTAATGCTCGTATTCATCGACTTCGTCGTATAAATAACACAAATATCGGGTCAAATTCAGATGTTGCAACGGTTGCAGCAGTAGCTTCTTTAGCCGCTGGTGCCCACTTACTTCAACAGCAACAGCATGTGAATACTGTATCCAGTGGCTATTCTGACCATAATCATCAACATTTATCAAATACTGTTATGGCAGCAGCTGCCTTCAATAGTTCATGGAATTCAGTCTTGACTAATCCATCTATTCTAGCTCGCTATGGATATACATGTCATGTTGGATCAGTAAATAGTTTACCTGGACGACATCTTTCATCACTTCAAAATTATTTGGTATATATCATATGTAAATTTTGTGTTTTATAAAACTACTCATTGCATTATCTATGTGTTATCTATAAGTTTCAAGTCCATTGGTGATAATCTCCTCTAGAATCGTAAGATTTCAATTGCATTTCTGATGTCAATAACTGAACTGATTTGAATCATCCCGCCGACGAGTCCCAAACGGGAAAAAACGCGCGTTCTGGATTCCACTGTTAACCGCCATCCGTGTTTGCTTATAATGAATTGACTTCCTTGTTTAGAGTTTGATATTTTATTCATTATTCTGTCAAAGATATTAAGTATTGCTTATTTCATCAATAAGTGCTTAATGTTACTAATCGTTTTGTTGTATACAATTTTTAAATTAGCTTATCACTTACGGGTAATTGAAATTGTAATGGTCAGCTACATCCTATTTTTATATTATAACTGGCATCAATTTTTCAAATATTGTTCAATTATTAATTGTGATTACCTTCTAAGATTACAGGTATAATTGATTAAAAGAAAAGAGAGATTGAAATGATGTTGAAGATTTCCTTTTAGCTTAGGTTGTGTAGTTTTGTAGTGAACAGAACACGGGTGGGGACAATCGAATGTATTTAACACAAAATTGCAGGACTTGGTAATAAAATCTAGCAATCAAATAGTAAATGCTTAATTTGCAAAATGTCCATCAATTGTCTCAAAATGACTCAGACTTCATTGTTCTTGCATTTTCATAAAAATTATATTCTGTTCCCAGTCTTTACTGTTCCATCCTCTTGTCTCTGCTGCCAGACTTTCTGTTCACAACTAACATCATATTCTACTTATGTCAATATAAGTAGCACACACCACAAAAGCACAGTAATTTAATGTGTTGATTCCACATAAATTAGTATCTACTGATGCTGTTTAGAATAACAATGAAGATTTGGTAGAGAGCACAACATATCTAACTGAAATGAATAACTCTCAAGATTTTGGTTTTCTTTTTTATCATTGTTTCTGGATGAATTCAATCTCTTCTATTATTTTCATCTTGTCATTTCAATCACATCATGTCAATCTAACGTATATCATCCGTGCTTGACTATTTCTGGATATTTTCTATCTGCTTGTCTCCCTGATTCTCTCATTAACATATCAGTGTTAATTTCGGAAGTTGTTTTGTATTCGAAATCCTTTTTTTATCGTGCTTAATTATAATTTTGTTTTTGTCGTGGAATGTAAATTAGGATAATGTTTTTCTCCTGTTTATTCATGTCAGTTAATCCAGTTGTCGATTATCGAATGGTCATTGTTACTTATAGAAAATTTTCTTAGCTCTGTATCAAATCTGCTAGAAGTCTCGGAAAAAACGAATTAAGCCATGTAAAATCCCAATTCATTAGATTTATAAGGCGTTTACATTTGTCAAAGTGCCGTCAGAGAATAAGCGTTTCGTGCACAAGTAATCTAAGTGTAATATACAAAAGGAAAATACAACAAACCAAGTAATAACTATCAGTGTATTCAATTGGTCAATGTCAGGCAACAGACTGGAACAGACACTATACTCACTAAATATGGAGATTGGTACAAAGAAACTAATGATCAGTAAATCCACAAAGAATGAAGATAAATCAGTAAAACTATTGTGGAAATACAGTTTAGTGATAAATGAATTAAAAGTCATGAAGTCCTGTTGATGTTTAACGCGAAAAAACAAATTTTATAAACTGCGCGTCCAAAATTGATTGATAACGATGTAAGCTACTGAATCTCAGTAAGTAATATGTATAATTAACATCGAAACTCTGAGTTAAAGGTAAAAAGGATGAGTGTTTTCAATGGACCGTCAAACTATTTCACTGTTTCTCTTAAATACCACACCCTCCCCATATAAATTCTTGTGTTTTTCTTAAATTAATGCCTATAACTTCAATTTGTTGTTAATTTGTGTGCCTACCAAGTGTGTATCACAAACTCATCTCTATCGGTTTTTGCTTCTAATTCTTTCATAGCAAACAACTAATAATTCTCAATGTCACCCATTGAAATATCCTGTCGGAGGCGGTGGTAGCAGTAGTGGGGCAACGTCAATTGTATCTGTAAATAACAATTCATCATCAACCAATAACACAGGTCAGTTAAATAATGTAACACAAATGGCTAATCAGTTATATGTTGGTAAACCTCCTGATTGGTTGATTTATGAAGAAGCAGCATTATATTTAGTAAGTTGTTGTTGTGACATTTTTCGTTGCTTTTGTTCTAAAAGCATATTTAATAATGGTATACTTTTTGTTTGATCAAAATATTATTTTTTACTGTCTTCTATGAATAACTCTATATTAGATGAATAAACTAATTAATTAGGTTTAATTTATATTTAAAGGAAAAGAAATTTACATTTAGAAATACCGGTTAGATTGGAATTTAAAAGTATTAAAATTATAAATTGTAATGAACGAGAACACAAGCGGGGACAATCGAGTGTTTTTGAACACAGGAGTACAGTACATCTTGATAAAATCTGAGAACCATACAATGAATACTTAGTTTGCAAAATGTAAATCCATTGTCTCAAAATTGACTGTTCCTTTTGCAAAAATCAGTCAATCATTTCAGACTTTACTGTTACTGCATTTCCATACCAATTGTTTTCTGTTCCCATCCCTTCCTCTTCGATTTTCTTGACCTTCTGCTGCCAGACATTCTATTCCTGATTAGCATTTTTATACTACTCATGTCGATGTAAGTAGAATACACCACAAAACGACAAGTGCTCTTCACAATTGATTGAACACTGGGTGGTGATCAATGTCATGCTTGTCTAGTCCTTATTAGTGCTCTCATAAACAAATATGATTATCTCTAAGAGTTTGATAATCGGAGTTCACTAAATAATTCTAAAAGTGAAAAATAAGCGAATTTAGTTAATTTTAAACTATGTTAACATTGAAGATGAACTAGTGCTAGATATACATTGTTCGAAAAGAATGAAGCGAATTAAGAAAAAAAAAGACGAGAGATTAATCAAAAGAATGGATTAATGTGGTAGTCATTTTATATATCAGGAGAATTTTGAAAGTAATCAGAAGGAGTATATTTTCTAAAGAACGTTAAGAAAAAGAGAATCCAGCGAGGAAAATTTTCTTTTCGACGAAATCATTTACTTAAGCTGTACATTCATATATATATATATATATATATATATATATATATATAATTAGATGGAAAATATATATCTATAGGAGGATAGGAAAGATCACATCATAAATTGATTCGAAACTAAATATCAAATGAGGTTACGTACTAATCAAGGGGTAAAGATGAAAATAATTTATGGATCAGATAATAGTCCAATTGACAGATATAAAGAAAAAACGACAAACACAAATGGCATACTAATAATATATTGAATAATAATGAAGCAAACTTGTATAACGTAATAATAATAACAACTGATTAGTAGTTAAAATGCAAAGAAGTAATTTAAAGAATTCAATAATAATCAAATAAAAGTGAAGAAGAAAGGAAAAAACCCGAAACATATAAATAAAGGGAATCAGGGCGAAGGAAGGATGAGAGGTTGGAAGAATCGTTTCTGAACGCAAAGTTCGGGCTTGAGTTCGTGGATTGTCAATGTCTCAACAGTGCATAAACTATTGATTCGACATCCCTTCGATCCACTTCCTTTGACTCTGTAGATTACTTTACAAGAAGAATCCTTTTCACCTGCTTTTAATTCAACCAATAACTGAGAGATTTCGTTCATGTAAGTCATGTATAGATGATTCATTATTTGTAAAGGAGATATGGACCTCAATGAAATTTTTAATAGTTTCAATAATGGTCACCCCTCAATTCAATTCACCTTTGAAGCAGAGGTAAACAATGAATTTCATTTTCTTGATGTCCGAATAAAAAGAAGGCCGGAGGTTTTTTTTACAGAGATCTATGTATAGAAAACTAACCTGGAATGGGCAGTACACGAATTTTCATATCTGGGTCCCACTGAGTAGAAAGCGAAAATTAATTCATTCTACATCCTCAAAGACCAGGCGAATCTGTTCCACTGACACAATAAATGCGAAACTATTTCAACTTCGATAGACTTTCATTAGAATTGGTTATCCACTGTCATTCGTCGATAGCAACTTAACACCTAGACTCCATCATGAAAAAGCATCGACAGTACAGGGAAAACTTTCTTTATGAATATGGAATTTAAAGGAGATACAACTGCTGAAATCTGAAAACTTCTCGCAAAAGACAAGAAAGGCTCAGGAAACACTAAGAAGCATTTTATCCAATCAGCGTTCGCTAGAATTTTAGCCAGAAACATCAAGAGCGTGAAAAGTCACATGTAGCGTTTCTGATTGACCGATTACTATATTACCACTATGTTTATTAGCATTCCAGAATTCTCGGGAAACCCAAGGACATCTAAAATACCATAAAAACCCTATATTTTTTGTATTAAAACGAACCTTTGGAGTAAAGTGCTTCTCGCGTATTTTGCGCATTTTTTTAAAATCACGTTTTTGCATTTTAACTACTAATCAGTTGTTACTATTATTACCTCATTAAAGTTTGCTTCATTATTATTCAATTTATTATTGGTATGCCATTTATGTTTGTCGTTTTTTTCTTTATATCTGTCAATTGGACTATTATCTGACCCATAAATTATTTTCATCTTTACCCCTTGATTAGTACGTAACCTCATTTGATATTTAGTTTCAAATCAATTTATGATGTGATCTTTCCTATCCTCCTATAGATATATATTTTCCATCTAATTATGTATATATATATATGAATGTACAGCTTAAGTAAATGATTTCGTCGAAAAGAAAATTTTCCTCGCTGAATTCTCCATGGGTTATTTTTAATATCTAAAGAACTTTACTTTTATTTTTAACGTTTATGAGATTCAAATATGCAGTGCCAACGTAGTAACATCCAAATTTCGTCCATAAAATCAAATATAAATTACTATAGTCTTGTTTATGTAGATGAGGCATCTGTATTTTTAAGTATAAAGATAATAGAGTGCAAATTATGCCTCAAGCATATTCCCTAAATTCTCAGAAATTGTTATTATTTATTGTTTGAACACATAGATATTGGTACAAGGAGGTACCAAATACATACGCGCCACACAGATCTCATTTGATATGTGTGAGGGCTATGATGCTGCCCGGGTGCCCAAACCGAATGAGATGGTGTTCTTAGGGGGTCACACTCGGAGCCTTCGACCTGAAGGTCTGATCCACAAGGGAGTGGAGCATCGTAAAGAGATGCAGTCCCATGCTAGCGGGTGACCAACGATTAGTTCATACACCAATTTTCTTTACAACATACTGGAGCCCCCCATGTGCACCATTAGTTTGGAATCAGGGTTTTTCAACTCCACTAGGTGGACTCTCCATATCCACCGACCCGGTTAAAGAGTAGGACATTCACTTTTCGTCCTCTCAATTTCGTAAACAACACCTTAACCACGAGAAGGTAGTGAGTAGGACTTCCCTGCCAGAGGCTATATACGCGTGACCATATGAGAGCATTTCGAGAGGGAGATCGGACTGTCCCCCCTCTCAGCCTACCAGAAAACGTGTAAACTAATAACTAATAATAAAACCTAATCGACTTTAACTCAATATAAATCAATCAGAAGCGTTTTACTTCTCAGATAGAACGATAAATCCCAAAACACTCCTACATTATATATGATCAAATCACAATAATTGAAATTGATAAGATATAGTACAACTAACTATTTTTATTGATTAAATAAATAAATAGAAGTTTAATTTACACTTCTTTATCATTTCATGTACTGTATACCAGAATGAAGTATATTTAACTGGGTTTTTTTCTCGTTTATTATATTTGAATGTATTTTTGACAATGTGTTTACCACAACAGCATAGATACATCCATTAATTTGTTTATAGAAGGTCAGTTCAAATTAGGTGAAAATGTTTTGTTTTTGTTTTTTCATATAAAGAACTGATTCATTTGCACATTTAATCTTTTATTCTTTTTTAGTGTATCACAAAATTACAAGAATTGAACTTTGAAATTAATAATCCAAATTCTAATTTGTCTACATCTACACCAAATTATCGTTTTGCTGAATTCTTCTTAAATAACTATTTACCTAATCGAAGTTATCGTGGTGCTAGACAATGTTTATTAGTTCATTTTAAAATGCAAAATGTTGTATCGTCTGCAAATATAACTACATCATCATCAACAATGTCTAATAATAATAATAGTAGTGGAATTAATGGAGGAGGATGTTCATTAAATATTCCTTTTACATTTAATCCAGATGATTTATCACATTCAATTTCAGGTAAGTATTTTGTTTTTCCTTTTTTATCTAGAGGGCAGCTGGTCCAGATGGATTGACTCGACAGGTCTATAAGGATGGTGCTCCAATTTGAGATATTATTAGGTTGACTAATATTTTAGCTAAGATCTGGGAGTTGGACGTTATTCCATCTGACTGGTCACAATCACTTATCGTCCCAATATATAAGAGAGGGTCAAAATCATCCTGTGACAACCATAGAGGGATTAGTTTGACTAATATTGCATCTAAAATACTGGCCTCGATAATAATCAGACGCCTAACTAAGACTCGTGAACTGCAAACACGAGAGAATCAAGCTGGCTTCAGACCATTCGTCAGGTTCTAGAACATAGGCATACTTATCGGCGTCCGACAATGGTGATCTTTTTTGACTTAAAATCAGCATTTGACTCGGTAGACCTCGAGATTCTGTGGTAGTGTCTGTCATTGAAAGGTGTACCTCATAAGTACATAAACCTTGTGAAGGATCTCTACTCGAACACTACCAGTCGAGTGAGAGCTTATGGCAAACTGTCATCTGCTTTTGCAACATCAAGTGGTGTCCGTCAAGGCTGTCTACTTTCTCCATTTTTGTTTAACTTCATCATAGACCTATTGATGTAAATAACATTCTCGTCTACTGAATCCTCGGGTATTGAACTCTTCCCAGAAGGTCCACTTATCGACTTAGAATACACAGATCAGAGTCCTGTTTGGTGAAGACGCTGATAAAATGGTGTGTGTTTTGGTAGCACTGAGCAACAATGCCAGAATGTTTGGAATGCGCTTCTCTCCCTGTAAATGCAAGTTGTTGCTCCGGGACTCGAGTGCGTCAACACCTGAACTAAGGATAGGGAGTGAAGTAGTCGAACACGTTGACAACTTCACTTATCTTGGAAGTCTGACCAGCCCTAATGGGTTGGCGTCTGACGAAATCTCAGCACGGATTCGAAAAGCTCGTTTGGACTTTGCCAACTTACGTCACCTATGGCGAAGTTGAGATATCCGTCTATCAATAAATTAACGAGTATACTACGCGGCAGTCCGTTCTGTGTTAATTTACGGCAGCGAAACATGGTCATTAAGAGTAGAAGACACTCGTAAGCTACTAGTATTTGAGCACAGATGCCTCAGAAATATTGCTGGCGTCTGCTGGGATCATCGGGTAAGTAATGGTGAGGTTTGACGCAGGGTATTAGGGAAGGATGGTAAATCGGTTGGTGAGGTTTTGAATCTTCATCGACTGAGATGGTTGGACCACGTGTTACGTATGCCTGAACACCGATTACCACGACGTGCAATGCTAGCCGGTGTTCGGGATGGCTGGACGAAAGTTAGGGGTGACCAAACCAAGACGTGGCATCAGTGCTTGAAGTCACTAACTTCTAGTCTGAACCATGTTGGTAGATGCAGACTACTTGGTTGGGGTCCGCGTGACTATCGTAACCAATGTTTGGAGACTCTTGGTGACATGGCTCAGAATCGATCACAATGGCGTCGGTATATGCACTCTCTGTCTTCCCTTAAACTAAGAGATTAAAATTTCTTTATATCTTTCTTTCCACGAACTAATTCTTTCTTGCTGTACTATATCATTATTGCAATCTTTCTTTTATATATTACCACCTCTGAATTAACTACCTTTATGAATCCGGTGTTCAGGTTGTTGTGCTAATGAGTTATGGCAACTTGGATCGATGCATATGTATGCCTATTATTATTAAATAATAATAATAATTAATAAATAATAATAGGCACATATATGTATCGATCCAAGTTTCCATACCTCATTAGCACAACGACATGAACACCGGATTCATTGAAGTACTTAATTCAGTGGTGGTAATATATAAAAGAAAGATTGCGTATACGTATTGAGTACGTTGTAGCCGACTGACTGACTGACTAGAGGTTTTTTTAATACTGAATTTTTGTCTAGAGTTTTTTGTGTATGTTTTTGATAAATAAGACTAGAGCTTCTGTATGCGAGCGAGCGAGAGAGTGAGTGGTATATTAAAATTAAATAATGAGATAGTGTTTACAGTTTCACTGGATAATCATTAAATTAGTCTTCAATGGTTATTTCCACAGGAGTGTAAATTAAAATGTCTTTGATCTAATAAAAATATTCATGGATTAAGTATACATACAATAGCACAAATCTTCATGCAATTCGATATTAGAATGCTTAGTTACTTTCTAACTTTCTTTAAATTGAACTTCAATTATTATTCATTTAATGGTGTTAGTCATTCATTTTATTTAGGCCATACGGTATACTCCGATTTTGAAAGTTATAATCGACTGATGGTATTTCAAGCAACGCTCATATAAATTAACCATTTTATGTCTATAAATATGTAGCTTTTATTATTACTTAATCGAAAATAAATGATTTTTTATACAGTTAGGCATAATATCTTATTCCGTTGCCATTTAAAACTTAACTATCCACTTCAACTCAAAATTGATCAAGAATACAGTCCATTGACTAATCACATGACCGAGCATACAAGCATCGCTGCCGGTTGGTACTCTGAGCTCTGTCTGATGGTTCCTGAACCACTGAGTAACACATTATCTAGGACTTCAACGTGGGAGCTGTGATGAACCGATAGATTCCAGTTGTATATGGTTATCCTTCATATCATGACAATATGTTTTAAATGTGGTTTTCCTTTCCGATTACAATGTCGACAAATAAAAAGCTGATTTCAAAGCCGTTGAAATGATATTCATAAAAATAAAACTACATGTTAACTAGTGAATGTTTAATCAATTACTCTCTTATTATTTTATTTTTAAGGATATGTACATACTTCAGTGGTTACACATCTCACTTTTTTCAATCTGTATGAATCTGATTAACCGCTGGATCATGGGGTTATTCGACAGTTTTTGGTCAAATCTACTTTTTTTTATTTTTATCTTTGTAATTTGTCTACAAAATAATATGTAAAGTTAATATTAAGATTCATTTAAATCTCTTCTCATTGCATTATCGAAATTTATCAAATGGACTAATTGTTTTAAATCTCTTATTCTCTCTAAACGTATTTCATGCACAGTGAATCCAATTTCTAGCTTACATCATCATGGTCCTAGTAGTCGAAAAGTAAAAAATAAGATGAAAAGTGCCGCTGTAGCTGCAGCTGCTGCCGCCGCCGCTGCAGCTGCCACATCTTCGCCTGTTATTCCTGGCAGTGTCGGTGGAGCTCCTCAATTCTGCAATAACTTAAGTGGAGCGTCAGGATCTATGTTTGGTGTTGGAGGTGGCAATGTCGGAGGCGGTGGAAATCCAAGTGGTGCCGTTGCTGGTGGCGGTACTACTACATCAACCGCATCTGTGGCTGCTGCTCTGAATCGATGCAGAGGTTATCTATTTTATCAGGTAATTATCCATGTTTTGATTATATATGTTAATAGTACAATCTTTCATGTGTTGATTTTAATGTTTGTCATTCAGAAATTGAGATTATTTATTTTAAAATAGTGATAACATTTATTATCATACTTTTGTGATATGGAAACGAAATGAAATTGTCATGAGCTACAGACTGTTATATCGGAAGAAAACTGAGTGGATGGTAACTCCCAGGAATTTTTTATCGACATATATATGTATATTCTTGTTGTATGATTATTCAGTAAGTAGATTATTTATCTGTTTAGTCCTTTTACCATATTCTTTGATCTGACCATTCAACTACTATTATACAAATTACTCTTCCTGACTTATTGCCAAATTTATTATTTACAGTATCCCTTACTAAAAACCGCTTTTGACTTGATCTTGTGTAATTGTTCTTTTATTATTTTATGGTGTGATGCAGTCTGGTCTGTATATGTCTGAATTATATTATTCATACAATGGAGAATGATTATTGTGTTCTGGACTCAGTGGGTAGTGGAATGTGTGAAGTTACTGTATTGAAGACTAATGAGGATTTAGAGTTGATTCATGGCTACTGGTGCTGATTGGATATCATTGGTTAACACAGGGACAAGGTAGTAGAAATCGGTATCTCGACTAATGGTGTTGTCACGTATTATTTGACGGGGCCATAAGTCATTATATAGACATTAATGTTTCAGAAAGAAGAGAGACTGACTGCAAATGAAATATTTATTGGATTGTTTTCTATATCATTACATTTGTGCCTTTGCAAGCTTTCTTTTTAACGCGAATAAATTTATGTAATTAATTTATCATTATCATTACTGACTATGTGGGCTTCAACTGTTTGAACTTTTGATAAGAGTGTAAATTCTGGGAATGTCAGCTTTTCTCTCGACGACATTAACAAGCATTTGTGATTAGAGAACCAGTCAATCAGTCATTATTAACAATGTAAAATCTGACAAGGGTGTGACTCTGTTCAAATTGCTTGACGTCACATCAACACAATGTAAGGAACTCACTATGTTTTGAAGGATAGGCTAGAAAGTAGTATCATAAATAGTGATAATCTAAGTGAAAGAATGCTTAAAAAACGACTCAAACACTAATGTAGTCCAACCAACCACAGTATACTATCACGTGACGCATCGCATTCTCTGAATACGCAATATTCAATCGATGGATTCTTTTATAAGTTGAAACAGCTGAAATACTGTTCTCAACTATTTTGTTTATATGGAAATGCTGTTGTTTTAAAACTCAAAAGAGCTAACTACGCTACTTTTATGACGGGGTTATTTATTTCGTTGTTGATAAAATAAAACTGGACTGAATGAGATGTCCAAATAAGTAATTTACCCAAAGGACCTACGAAAGTGTATCGAATTATTCGTATCGGTAATCGTTTCCAGAATGAATAACTGTAGACGAACTACAAAAATTTAATATATATGTCAGGATACCTATTATTATAATCTTTCTCCCGTTTAATTTATTCATGGATTTCGTTTTAAAATACCCCGATTGAAATATACAGTTTGAACTATCTAGTAACAGTAATCGAAATTGTGAGAATATTCTTGGATAAGCTAAATTCCTCTGCATAACCTTCCATATTAGTAAATTGATTACAATGTTTCTGTGGTCAGTTGACTTGACTGAAGTATATTTAATTTGGATGATCGGTTACGTAGCGTGGAACTCATCTGTTCGATCAGTACTAAATAGTACTGAATCAATTTGAAGTTTTTAAATAAACGCTATCGATTATAAAATATTAAGCGTAATAGTAATGACTATCTGTTAGACTTCAATAGTTAGATCTTTGTTTTTTATCATATATTCTAGCCATGAAAGCATTCAACTTGTTCCATACAATTAGGTTTGACCAGCTGAATAGTGTCATTAACTATAAAATAGAAAACAAGTGTGTAACTCACAATTCTATACCAAAAATGTGCTTATTGTGTTAACTTACAAACAACTTACCTTTTTCGTTTGTTCATAAATCCTTTATGTAGCATTTACAAGCATGGCTCAATTTAATGTTATCATTTGACCGTAACGATACCAATCATACTAATATTACCACTGACTCCAGTAACAATATATCAGCGCATTTATCGCCAATCATTCATACTTTGAAATTTGCTGAAGATAGTCAAGCATCATTTTTACGCAAAGCTATTCGAGATACATTATCTGTACCGTCTGTCCAAATCCCTCCTATTTATCGTTCATCTGGATCACGTAGAACTTGTGTTGTTGGTGGTGGTAGTAACAATAGTAACAGTAGTGCTAGTGGAGGAGGAAATGTAGGAAATACATCATCATCGTCATTATCATCAACTGCCTCATCAGCTCTAGGATATCATCCGAATACAAATAATAATGCTAGTGGTAGTGGTTCTGGTACATCCACTACACATTATAATATTCATAACTCTGGACAACTTTCCTCTCATAGTCTAACAGGTCATTCCACTATGTCTAATACTCCTGCTTTATTAACACATCATCGTTATCGTCATCATATGACATATGATCATGGTCAAAGTCAAAATTCCAATATTACTACTTCTGATCTAAATCCAGCCTCTGGGTCAAGTACAGGTGTTGTTCATAGTGGTCCAATTATTCAGAAGAATCCTACACATATTGCTGCACTTCAAGTCAGTTTTATGTTTTGTGCAGATTTACAGATCAATTTTTTTTCTTTTTTATCTACCTGTAATTAATGAGTCTTTTATGATCTTTTAAACTCAGTTACAAAAATTGTCTAGTTCTCTACATTTTGCTATAAAGCATCAATGAGAATATAGATTTTTTCTCAAAAGCCTATATTGTGAAGCGATGTTAACGTGTTCGTGTTTGATGTAGATTTTCCATAGTTAGGTGTGTTTTGCTTACTTAATTCGCTCTAATTAATTAGATATCTGTCATTATGCGGTTGTCTGAGTACTGATACTAATATCTAAGCTTGCCATAGGTGGGTCCAAACCAGCCACTTGAGTGGGAAAGGAACTTTACTAAGTAAAACCCGATTGGTTATATGTATATACACTCGTTCCTAAATGTACATCTTTCTCCCTTAAGAGATAAAGTCATGTTTTTAACCTATGATTTGCATTTGTTTAGAAAAAGAAGCCAAATCTTGACTAATGGTGTGAGCTTAACTTAAGTCCTATGTCTGACCGATATGTAGTGAGCAAGAACACCAGTGGGGATAATCAAATGTATTTAACACAAAATTACATGACTTGTTAATAAAATCTAACAATCAAATAGTAAATGCTTAATTTGCAAAATGTCCACCAATTCTCTCGAAATGACTCAGACTTCATTGTTCTTGTATTTTGATACAAATTGCATTCTGTTCCCAGTCTTTACTGTTCGATCCTCTTGTCTCTCTGCTGCCAGACATTATGTTCACGAGTAACGTCATATACTACTTATGTCAATATAAGTAGCACACACTACAGATCCGCTAGTATATGTTATACATAATTGATTTATAAGTAGTAATATTCTTTGTGTTGAAATTTTATATATATTTTGACTAAACTTAATAAATAGTATGAGGGGATTTTTTTCTTTTCTCTGAACTATGATCTTTGTCTTGTGATATCAATTAATACCAATACAACTGTAATTTCTCACAAATCATCATCTGATAATTAAAGATTTTGTAATCACTGTTTTGAATTGAACTATAATCTCTTCAACAATGTATCTATTTGAAACTTTCCTGTACAGTTGACCATCAATGTAGGGTCAACTGTAAATAATCTATCTTTCCTATATTATGAAATAATTTTAGAATATAATGAAATGATATATTAAGTGATCTTGTACTACTCTAACTAGTTTACGGAAATTTATTTCATTTAAACAAAAACATTGATACAATTAGGCATCAACTATATATGTGCCACACAAATCATTTGATTTGTGTGAGAGACAGAATACTGCTTGGGTGCCAAAACCGAAACTGGTGGTTTTCTTAGTGAACCACTCCCCTCAGCCTTTGACCTAGAAGTTTAATCCACAAGACAGTGGAGCAATGTTAAAAGATACAGTCCTATGGTAACCGGTGACCGAAAATAGGTTCATATACCATTTGTTTCACTAAAGACTTCAATTCAAACGTCTCAAATTATTCACCATTGTGTGCTGTAAAAATGATAGATGAGAAATCAAACAAACAAACAAACATTGAAATTTAAGGCTTAAAATGAAATCTTTCACAATGATCACACTCAAATATGCATGAAACACACTGACTTATTGAATGGAAAAATAACCATAAATTCTGAATTGACCATATTACTTGAACAATTTAAAGAAAAACAAGAGGCAGATAACCTCAGTCCTTATTTCTTACGTTGATGAAAGCTTCTGTTGTAGAGATGTTCAAGAAAGCTAATGAATTATCTTTTTTTCTCTCTAAAACTTAAAGGAGTAATTTTCAACGATTAGATTGACAATATAATTAATGTAATAAATAATTTAAAGCTTCTATTTATATTTTTCTGTTGTTATCAATAATAAACAAAAAAAAATCAATGAATAGGAACATAATATCAATCCAGATACACTAATTACACCTGCAATGGTAATTAAAAATAAAGAAGAACGTGAAGCTCGTCAACGTGCTGAAACCTTATCAACTGCTAATCAAGTTAACTTATCGACTACTACTATTTCTTCTTCTTCATCATTATCAACTAATTGTCATATTACTAATTCAAATTCAACAACTTCCACAGTTGGAATGTTTCAAGGGGATAATACGTCAGATTCAACGAATTCACAACAAACTGAAAATGTTTGTCTACATTCTCACACATCACATCCATCATCATTATCAACATCATCAACATCATTATCGGATCATGTATATAAAACATCTACTTATACATATTCTGGTCTTACTAGTAGTAGTGAATCGTCAATATCCACATTTAATTTTCTTGGTTGTTCAACTACTTCTAGTTCTTTACCTACAACTTCATCATTTTCAAATGGACGAACAAATGCACAATTGTCTTTTGCACATAATCTGTCCCATCGAGGAAGTAGTGTTATGGTATGTTTTCTTTCTTCTGTATTGAGTGTTTTATTTAAAAAATAAACACATTTTATCATTATATATGAAACAGTTGATCATCAACCACACCAAAACATGACATCAGTCCATTGACAATTCGATTGAGCCATATTAATAGGTGTAGACTACCTGGTTTGGGTTTATGTGATTATCGTAACTAATGGTTAGAGACTTTTAGTGAAATGTCACAAAATCGTTTGCAATGGCGCAGGTTCATCCATTCATTGTCTTTCCCTAAATTATGAGCATCTGAATTCTTCATAACTTTTTGTTTTTATCTCAATATTGTATACTTTTTTTTCGAGTCGTATCCTCGATACTTAATCTTTTCAATCACCACTTATACTGTTACTATCTTTACTATTCTGGGATTTGGCTTGACGATTTCTTTTCTCTGTGTTAATGGAGTAAAGCAACTTCAATCGATGTACATACGTACTAGTTTCTACGTTGCGACTGATTGGTTCTTCGATAACAGATGATGAAGACAAAGGTGATCCATGGAGATTAATTTTAGTTCGGCTTTTTATTTTTTGATCATTACATTTGTTTGCTTACTCTCAGACATCTATATTTGTGTGTATTACCTTAACATACACTGAACCAGTTATATATATATATATATATATATATATATATATATATATATATATATATATATATATATATATATATATATATATATATATATATATATATATATATATATATATTCGTAACTCGATAATTCCATATTCTTTTTTTTTTCACATGAAGTTACCAATTCGTTCTGGGTTCTGTCCTAATACCGTTACACCGTCAGGTTCCGTTTTATCATTTACCAATCAACAGCAACAACCACATCGTTTAGTTGGTACACAGAATACTTCATCATCTTCAGTTGGTCATTATCAATTTCAACCTCGGCAAACATTATTAAATCCTTCAGTTGGTCGTCTTACCCATTTAACTTCAGGTTCATCAATCGTTAGTACACCTCATCTAACTGGTACTCATCATGTAATACCTTCAGGAGTAGTTGCATCAGTATCATCGTCATCATTAACAGATGATAGTGGAAGTACACGAAGTGTAGATTTGAATTCTGGTAGTATTTTAATTCCTGGCAACTGGCGTACAGCAACGAATCCACGTTCACTTAACGTCCAAGTAAGTTTATCTAGTTTTCACTCTATAAATTTAATTAAATTCTGGTAAACATCATTTCTATTCATTTTGATAATTGGAATAATTTCATTTACCTTTTTATATTATTCAACATAGAAAGTACTGAGTAATTTTATTGAGGTCGCAGACCAGCTTAAGCTAGTTAAACAACTATTGGAAACCAGAAAACACTGAACATCTGTTTCACTCTAATATCAGACTCCTCATCCACGGTCTCAATAATACTCAGCAATCTCCACTAACCCCTACACTGAATATCATCTTATAATCACTAGTAACTAATTTCAAGAAAATTATTCCTGGAGTCCTATCGAAAAGTCGTGACCATGTTGGATATGAGGTAGTTATTCACTGAAAACAATGATATATAATTGCATAATATTGCGAATAGTTAGAGGTTAGATGTGTAAACCATAGAATGGTATCGCAATGGTCAAAACATTAAACGTTCGCCGCGAAATCTGAATGTTCTGACGTCTATTTCTGATGGGATCGTGCATACGCACTACTGAAGTCCAATCCTAAAATAATAAAGCTGTCCACTGCTTTCTGATTTTCTATGGCTCTCCAACTTTGATTGGTTCGTGTTCTCAATAGCATTTATGGATTTCCACAAATCCCTATACTGATTACTACGCTTTATTTTACGAAAATAATTCTGTATTTTCCGTCAGTCAACAAATGGTTAGTATTATTTCAAATAAATATTAACTTTTCTCATTTTATTCATCACATAGACAATTGTTTCATCCACACCTACCGTTCTTCGACGTTCCGCTACATTTACCGGCATTGGTTTAAGTAATCAATCAACCAGTGGACTTCAGACTTGTCGATTGAATCCTACATTGTCTAATATTTCACAAAGTCTATCAACCACTCCATTCACTGGTACATATCTAAACACACAAGTTACAAAAATTCCGAATTCCTCTTCTTCAACAGGACAATCTAGCTTTTATATACATCAACGTCCACAATTTCTGTCTAGTACACAAACATCTGGTTCTTCATCTGGACATGGTGTTCTTGCCACACCATCGAATATTGCTGTAATTCCTGGTGCATCAAATAATTATTCATCATCTGTTACACATATACCTCAAATTCTTCGTCCTAGAAATAATGCTGTAAGTTATAAATTGTTTTCATAAACAAATTTATCATTATTCATAGTTCAATAAGTATTTTCTATGAATAGTTTGATAGAAATTAGGCGCTAAATATATAAATGTTATTATTTAGTTTCGTATATTCTACATGGTTTCTTTATCATTGTTGTTTTTCTATATTTTCAGCTTCGTGGTTCAATTGTTCAACCAACATTTGTACGAACATTCTCAACTGCCGGTGTTAGTGGTACAAGTGGTTCGGTTATACCTGTCCCGGTAACACAACATGGAACTCGTTTATCACCGAATGTAGTTGGTGGTGTAACTACAACAAGTATGCTTCTTGGACGTGTTGCTACACTAAATGTTTCTTCGAATAATCCATCCGTTTCTAGCATTCTTAATGCTTCACGTACTGGAACACAACGTAGTGTATCACCAACTGTTTTTCAGTCGTTACGAACATGTATTTCTGGTGGTGCTGTAAACTCTGTTGGAAATGAACAACATCCATCCAACAACAACAACAGTGGTGGCAGTAGTAAATAATAAATTGAAATATTACCATCTTTTTGACCTAAACTAAAAGGGGGTAACACTTAATTATTTATTTATCCGTTGTACATTAATAACTCTCATGCAGTCATTCATTTCTGTTATATTAATTGTTTATATATATGTAAAAGGGGTATCATATTTTCGAATTAAAGTGTAACCTAATAACCAGTGATCAATGAAGAATCCGTACTTTTTTTCTTGATTATCTGAGAAAAATATAGTCAGAGTTATTGTTGTGGTTTCTCTCTTTCGCTCTCTAATTATACAACCTAGAAAAATAACATTGAACTATCATCTAGAAGTTATATTGTATTTACTATGTATTTATGTTCACTTTCACAAACACACACACACATGTCAACATGAATTGTTTATGGCTCTCATTCTATTTCTTTGTTATTTCCTCTTAATTCTATATGATTTCTTGATCATCTGTGTTATATAGTCCATATGTATATCCTCTGGCTTATAGTATCAATTATTTTCATTGTTATTCTTTCCATTTCTTTCATTGTGCAAAGTTCTGTTCCATAAATTGTTAAATTGTATCTGCATTTTTGTTTGTTCGCTTAGCCCATTGTAAAAATATATGTATACGTAAACTTCAAGTTTCTTGTTTTATTTATTTATTTATTTCAACACATAGATATTGGTACAAAGAGTCACCAAATATATATGCGCCACACAAACCTCATTCGATATGTGTGAGAGCTGTGATACTGCTCGGGTGCCCAGACCGAAGCAGATGGTTTTCTTAGGGGGCCACTCCCCGAGCCTTCGACCTGAAGGTCTGATCCACAAGGCAGTGGAGCATCGTGAGGAGATGCACTCCCATGGAAGCCGGTGATCAACGATTGGTTCATACGCCATTTGTTCCCGCAGGATACTGGAGCCCATGTGCACCATTGGTTTGGGATCCGGTTAAAGCGCCGGACATTCGCTTTTCATCCTCTCATTTTCGTAAACAACACCCCCGTCGCGAGAAGACAGTGAGTAGGACTTCCCTGCCAGAGGCTATTTCCGCGTGGCCATGTGCGAGCATTTCGAGAGGGAGATCGGACTCTCCCTACTCTCGGCCATACCAGGGCATTTGTTTAGTTGCTGTTATAATTCTCTCTTATTACAACCCAGCTATTCCTGTTGCTTAGTAGTCTTGGACACCAATTCACTCGACAAAGTCTCCAAATCAGAACACGACTGAACAGGAAAGAAATTATATTCGAAATAACAAGGGTAGATGGAAGTAAGAAACACAATAAGAGATTCGTTAGTATGTTTATAGTTTTTACATGAGAAGATTCTAGAGTGTGCTCCAAGTATCGGCTAGCGCTGATTGGATAAGAATTAACCAATCAACGTGCACCAACGCAATCATGCATTGAGCATGCTTTAATCCAATCTATGTCCCGGTAACAGTTGTACTATTTTTTCTAAAGTGATTGTGGATTATGAAGGTTAAGAAAAAAGTATCTTTGATTTTTCTAATTTCTTAGTTGTTAAACCGTTTAAATTAATACTTTTGAATTTGTTCACGTGTTCATGATTTTGGTCAAGGTTTGACTTAATTATACGTCTAACACATATTATCAGTCGGCATCTGAATTAATGAATATGAGATACATATAATTTTATTCTTGAATGAGGTTCTGTACATATCTCTATTCAGGTTAGCTAATAAAGCCTCCTATGCGTTCCTCTTCTCACTCTTATAGTTGATTAGTCTTGTTTATTGGAAGCGTATATATTAGTATCAGAATCGGATGGCCGTGCAACACAACAAAATTCAATTCTTAATAAAAACATTTCTACATTTAATTTTAATAGTTGAATTCATGAGTCGATCTAAGCTAGATTACTATTGAAAACCTGGAAGTGCTGGGCGGGTGTTTCGTCCTAGTTTCGGACTTTTCAGTAGTGCACGTCCACGATTCCTCGCGCAGGATTCGGACCTACGAATCCTTATTTTGATTTCTACATGTATCGGTATGACTTGCATAATTAGCGATGTTTCATCTAGCCTTCAGAAAGTGGTGAGCATACATTGTTTTCAATAAAACAAAACATGCACTCATATCTTACATGGTTAAATTAGTCTAAAATAGATGGATTATAAAAGAAATCTCAGGAAAATGTTTTAATGCTAAGCTGAAATGATTGGTAATGTTTTTTCCTCTTGAAATTTCAAGCATTCAAATACGATCGTAATCAATCAATCAGTGTGAACACCCATATTCAAATCTCAAAGTAACTTTGACTACCTTGTAGGTTATTGGTAGAGGTTCTGACTTAAGGACATCTATCGGTTTTTCAAGACTTATGATTAGTTTTTCAACGTAAATTTCGTAAAATTATTGCTACATAACATCAGTTACTCGAGTGTGAATTTATTCGCACTGAAGGTTAATTCTCTATGGCCATAAACAGTGTTAGGGAATATTTACAAGTTCTCCTTTGAAGAGTTAAGAAGGCAGAAACATGACAGAATCATTGTTGTTACCCTGAATAATTCATGCGTGAAATTTGTGACGTATTTTAGTATTCTTACCTTACTAAATCATTTGTTCTTCAGTAAATTGGTAAATAAAATTATTTATTTACTAGTTTACTAAATAACAAAATAGATTGAAAACAAAGCTGATTGATCCACATGTTATTTATCATTTAGCATGTAATATAATGAACACTTGATATATTGAAAACCCGTTTTGATATTAATCAACATATGCCCACTAGTGACGATCTCCGAGAAGTATTTCCTGAAGTTCTAGTGAGAAGTAGTGACCAGTGAAGTTCAACCGAATCTGTTGTGAGATAGTAACTCACTGATCACAATGGTGGATGTATCGCTCAATTCGGTGGATTGGTTGAAGTTAGACATTAACACCGTTGAATGCTGGCTCGCGCGTGAGACTAATGATCCTGTGTTTGAATCTCGCGAGATGGGATCGTGGATGCGCACTGTTGAGGAGTCCCACAGTAGGACGAAACGTCCATTTGGACACATAAATATTGGTACAAAGGGGCACCGAAAACATGCGCGCCACAATTCACATGACTTGTGTGTGGGCTGTGGTAATCCCCCTGAGTGCCCAAACCGGAGCAGGTGGTTTTCTTAGGGGGCCACACTCGGAGCCTTCAACCTAAAGTTTTGATCCACAAGGCAGTGGAGCAACGTCAGGAGATGCAGTCCTGTGGTAGCCGGTGATCAATAACTGGTTGATACGCCATTTGTTTCCTCAGAATACTGAGTCTCATGTACACCATTGGTTTGGAATGAGGGTTTTCTGACCCTCCTAGATGGGTCCCCTATATCCACCGACCCGGTTAAAGCGCCGGGAATTCGCTTTTCGTTTTCTGAATTTTGTAAGCAACAGTAATTCCGCGAGAAGACAGCAAAAAGACGGTGTATGGAACGAATGTTATACCCTTAAAAATTGTCACTCATTTTGACGCTTGCCTTTATTGATAAGGGCCTTTTTGATGCTCGCGCATACTGATGTGACTCTTTTGATAGTTCACCTGTTGCTCGCTCTCTTATTAGGGGACACCTCAGTAAAATATGTCCACCTCTGAAAAAGCTTGTTTTCAGATCACGGAGGTTTTAAATGCAAATGTAAACCTGATAAATATTCTGAAGCTTAATTCATTTATAATTTAAATTGTATTCTTTTTCATGTGTATAAGCGCTTCTTGATTATTTACTCGTAAATTTTCGCAAAATACTTTGAAAGTTCAATGTCTAAGATTAGAAACACTGAGTCAGTTATAATCAGTGTAGAGCGAAAATGTTTTTTAGCGCAAGTCGTAATATCACATTAGCACAAGGATATGAGATTAATAAGATAAATGGCAAAGAAGTCAGAAGAATGTAGTATCAACAACAAAGAAAAAGCATTGAGAACATAAATCAGACAGCCAGAATGAAAAGGTATATAGAAAAGTCTTCCGGAACTCAAAATTTAGACTAAGGTTAGGCGTGAATGCATCGATGCCATTATGACCGATTCTGAGCCAACTCATTTAACTAGTGATCTTGGTTGTTTGGTAACTAATCAAGTGGGTTACATTTACCAACATGGCTCTGACTAACAGTCAATAACTGTATAGAGTGATGCCACGTCTTAGATTACATTGTCTCTAGATTTTTTCGAACACCAGCTAATATTACCGGTGGAAGTAAGTGGTCGTTAGACATAGGTAAATCATGTCTCAACCACCTCACTTGATAAACATTTATATTATCACCAATCGGTTTATCATCTATGTGTAACCACAGAATCGCCCAGTTGATTGCTTTACAACAAGCGACTAGTACTTTAAAGACACTTATTTTAAAATACCTCCAGTCATCTACACATGACTTCTGCGTTCATAGACCATATTACACCTTCATAGGTGAATACAGAGTTGGCTAAAGACATCCAGACATTTTTAATCTATCATGAGTTTCGCCAGATATGAATGTAGTAGGGCTGATGAGGCGTCTAAGATAAGTAAATTAGTTGATGCACTCGATTACTTGACCATTAATTATTTAGATCAGTTCTGAAGCAACGATTGAATAAATGAATGTCTAAATAGACTATCAACGTTTAAACATTTAAAGAAACATTTCAAAAATATGGGTTCTTTATTTCTAATGTAGATGCATAAAAATCAAATTTGGTGATGGAATAGTTTTTCTGGCTTCCATTCATACAATCTAGCTCTGAAATTACATTTGTAGTTCCATGTTAAAAGAGTTCAGATTTGTAGTTGTTCTCTGTTGTTGAAAATCGGACAGGTAGTCATGATTAAAATAATGTAATTTTAAGAAAACTGAATATAGCCAAGATAAAACAAACTTTGATCATGACTAAACTGTTAGTGAGCCATGCTTGTAACGGACTTAGTTAATTTTATAGTTAAAGAAAACAATCACAAGTAAATAAGAACACGACAAACTGAATGTTTTAGGTGAATTCGAAGCACACAATGAAACCTGACAAATCAGGCAACCTTTTTTTGATTATCCTTAGAATTGTGTAAGGCATGTATACGTATTAAAGTAAGATTCAAACATATGAGTAATGAACTGAAGTCTAGTACACGTGTTGATTGTTAATACTTCAGTAAGAATAGTATCATGATTTTATGGAAACTGTAACAGTTTATCTGGATTTATGTTGTAATCCAGTATACTACTGAAGTTACTTTTAAGTATATACATAATATATAATATATTATATACATATTATGTAATGGGAAGAGTTATAAATAAGTGAGGACATACAAATAATCATAATTTTTCTATGTCATAGCAACAACTAAACGCTTCTCAGTTGAACGAACATAAATGTTAACAAGAAAATTCATGCAGTCTATTATTCAGGTAACTGAAGTAGTCTAGACAGGACAAAAGATTAACACAGATAAGGGGCTAATTTATTTGAAGAATTGAAGTTGGAAAAAGTGTGTGTGTGTGTGTGTGTGAGGTTAAAACAGAATAACAATTTTAAGTAGAGCAGAATAAATTTATTTGTAATAGAATCAATATGAATATCATTTCATTATGTAGTTAAACTTCTGGAGCATAATACTTTTTTCATTATTATTATTGATCATAGGA